AAAAAATATAAAATGTACAAAGAAAAAAATGCCTTTAAAAAATAATAAAGCATATATCAGTCAGAAAAAAAAAGGTAGTAGAATAGTAAATGCAGTATCTTTAAAGAGGAACAAATTGTTAAGTATACCAAAACAAATGAACAACATCTTTGTTAATAATTGTACAATTTTTATTTTATTTTATTTTTTTTAGGTGATTTAGTAACCTTTTTAATTATCATGGGTACAATCCAGAAAAAAATTCATACTTTTAGAGTGCATAATCAATCTCCAGTACCTGCTGGAAGCATATGGAAGAGTTCAATAATAGAATTAACAATTGAGAATCATTGTGTCGATGCCGTCTAGTATGTCTAGACTTTGTGAGGGGTGCAGTTTGCAGAGGGCAAATAATACCCAGCAACAGATATTGATTGACCATGATTAGCTTGTGCTCTCGTATAACTAAGCAAGCATTTAAGGTTACCAGATTATAAGGGATGGGGTGATTGAGTGTGCTAACTTCTATGCATAAAATAATTTTTTGGGGGGGGAGGGTCCTCCCCTTCTTCGCCTTTAAGGCTATACGGGGTTTTCCCGGGCCAGGAGGTGTGGGCAGGGATTTAAAAGACTCTACACGGTGGGCCAGACCCCCTTACCGTGCACCCCCCCCCACATCCCTATAAATTGCATATCGTTGTGTTCCTTGTAACTATTTATTAAAAAAAAGCCAATGTTCCCACAAAAAAAAGTGAACGCACTGCCCCAAAATGGCGTCCAAAGATGGCGGATTGACGACTTTGACTTTAGTTAGTTTTTTGGTCACTGAGAATCAGCATTTGGCTTAATTTCCTCATAGTTGGTCTTTTATTAAAGCTGAATAGTCATAGAATAATAAACCATGAAGAAATATTAAAAAATAATGGGCTTAGGCTATGAAAAATACTACTAAAGTCAATTTTTTTAACAAAAAAATTTTCAAGTTAAAAATCAAGCGTCATTTGTAATTAAACGGCCTACAATAACGCAAAACGTGCTGAAATAAACCATCTGGAGAATATATTTTTCTTTCCAAAACGCTGATTATTTTTTAAAAACTTGTAAACAGTTCCGTAGAAAATGCACTTATGTGGCAGAAAAGCGGTACTGGCGTGGGTGCCTACAGGCCTCTACCACACCATTCAGTACACATAAATGGCTTAGTTAAAGTGATATAATAACATTTTTGGTACATTATATTGGTTTTATTAACGAACAAATATTAATGCAATAATTTAATTGTAAAAAAAAAAAAATTAAATTTTTTTAAAAAATTATTATTTTTTTTTTATTTATCCTTCTTTATTCTACACGTAGGTCGTTTAAGAAGACCTTGATTGTAAAAATGATATAATTATAATAATAAAACTTAATTAAAAAACTTTGCTAAATATCTTGATTTTTGTTTTATTTAACGTTTGCAAATTAACATTGTGTTTTGTATATTTACTGATTCTTAAAGGTAATTAAAATTTATATATACTTCCCAGGAAATGAGTCGTATTAATACCTGTTTTATAAACTAAAATAATATATACCTAATCTGAACTATATATAATGAATAGCTGCTGGGTTGTATAGTAAAACTCATATATCACTAATTAAAAAATTAATTTTTATTTTCTTTATTTTGTGCGGAAGTTGGACTATATCATAAATAAATAGGAAATTTTATTATTGAATGAATTATTCTCTCTGCACAAAGAAAGATAGAAACGGTGACGCTATAAGTTCTTCTATAAGCCAGAACTGATTGTTTGGATTTGGTCTTGAAATGAGGAAAAAGGCGAAATTGAACCCGAAAACTGGAAAAATACATTAAGCGAACGAGAAAGGAAGTGCCAAAACCTCGGAAAAGAAAAAAAGTACCAGTATCCATTATATGGCTAAACGAATGTATAGTAGACAGATGAAGAGAATATTTCAAGATGCTGCTAAAAGGGGGTCAATTGCAGTTTGGATGATATTAAGTGGACGATGTAGGTTTATTATGGTAAAAACCACTTTATTTTCGATTGCTGAAGGTGCACATCGGGACTATCTTCACTTTGAAGCAGGATATAGAGAGTTATATCGAGAAAGTTATAGCTCATAGCTCTCCTTCTGCTTAGTGCATTTGCAAACGTTTTTTTAAGGAATCTAAAAGGAAAACCTGCTTTTCTGAAAGACAATTAGATATTATCATAATCCAAAGTGTGAGGCACTAAGGAGATAGAGAGATATTTTTCGTTGTAAATAGACTTCTCTATAACCTGCCTTAAAGTGAAGCCAGTCTCAATTTTCAACTTCTCTTCCAATGTGAGACTTGAGTTTCTCAATCCATATCGCTCTAGCAATCGACAATATTTCTTATTCCAGCTTCTACGATTCTTTAGTATAATTTCTTTGGTACACTAAACAGGAATGAATCTTGATGGGTATTACATTAAGAATCGTAGAAGCTGGAATAAGAAATATTGTCGATTGCCAGAGCGATATGGATTGAGAAACTCAAGTTGCACATTTTAAGAGAAGTTGAAAATTGAGACTGGCTTCACTTTAAGGCAGGTTATAGAGAAGTCTATTTACAACGAAAAATATCTCTCTATCTCCTTAGTGCCTCACACTTTGGATTATGATAATATCTAATTGTCTTTCAGAAAAGCAGGTTTTCCTTTTAGATTCCTTAAAAAAACGTTTGCAAATGCACTAAGCAGAAGGAGAGCTATGAGCTATAACTTTCTCGATATAACTCTCTATATCCTGCTTCAAAGTGAAGATAGTCCCGATGTGCACCTTCAGCAATCGAAAATAAAGTGGTTTTTACCATAATAAACCTACATCGTCCACTTAATATCATCCAAACTGCAATTGACCCCCTTTTAGCAGCATCTTGAAATATTCTCTTCATCTGTCTACTATACATTCGTTTAGCCATATAATGGATACTGGTACTTTTTTTCTTTTCCGAGGTTTTGGCACTTCCTTTCTCGTTCGCTTAATGTATTTTTCCAGTTTTCGGGTTCAATTTCGCCTTTTTCCTCATTTCAAGACCAAATCCAAACAATCAGTTCTGGCTTATAGAAGAACTTATAGCGTCACCGTTTCTATCTTTCTTTGTGCAGAGAGAATAATTCATTCAATAATAAAATTTCCTATTTATTTATGATATAGTCCAACTTCCGCACAAAATAAAGAAAATAAAAATTAATTTTTTAATTAGTGATATATGAGTTTTACTATACAACCCAGCAGCTATTCATTATATATAGTTCAGATTAGGTATATATTATTTTAGTTTATAAAACAGGTATTAATACGACTCATTTCCTGGGAAGTATATATAAATTTTAATTACCTTTAAGAATCAGTAAATATACAAAACACAATGTTAATTTGCAAACGTTAAATAAAACAAAAATCAAGATATTTAGCAAAGTTTTTTAATTAAGTTTTATTATTATAATTATATCATTTTTACAATCAAGGTCTTCTTAAACGACCTACGTGTAGAATAAAGAAGGATAAATAAAAAAAAAATAATAATTTTTTAAAAAAATTTAATTTTTTTTTTTTTACAATTAAATTATTGCATTAATATTTGTTCGTTAATAAAACCAATATAATGTACCAAAAATGTTATTATATCACTTTAACTAAGCCATTTATGTGTACTGAATGGTGTGGTAGAGGCCTGTAGGCACCCACGCCAGTACCGCTTTTCTGCCACATAAGTGCATTTTCTACGGAACTGTTTACAAGTTTTTAAAAAATAATCAGCGTTTTGGAAAGAAAAATATATTCTCCAGATGGTTTATTTCAGCACGTTTTGCGTTATTGTAGGCCGTTTAATTACAAATGACGCTTGATTTTTAACTTGAAAATTTTTTTGTTAAAAAAATTGACTTTAGTAGTATTTTTCATAGCCTAAGCCCATTATTTTTTAATATTTCTTCATGGTTTATTATTCTATGACTATTCAGCTTTAATAAAAGACCAACTATGAGGAAATTAAGCCAAATGCTGATTCTCAGTGACCAAAAAACTAACTAAAGTCAAAGTCGTCAATCCGCCATCTTTGGACGCCATTTTGTGGCAGTGCGTTCCCTTTTTTTTGTGGGAACATTGGCTTTTTTTTAATAAATAGTTACAAGGAACACAACGATATGCAATTTATAGGGATGTGGGGGGGGTGCACGGTAAGGGGGTCTGGCCCACAGACTACTCCCCCAGCACCAAGACGCGAACTCGTGACTATTTTAAATTCATTGTCTCATGGATCAGGTTGGTGGGCAGCGGCGGTGCTGAGCACACACGTTAGCCCATTCGGCCACCCTGCCCACAAGTACCAAATAACTTAAAGATAACATGCTAAAATAATTATGAATTCACATACCGGTGTTGAGGGAGCTTTTATCTCCAGCACTAATCCCCAACCCTCTCCCCTGGCATTGGAAAATCCCGAATTGCCAAAAAGAGGACAAAGGAAAGAACGAAAAAATATTTAATTTGGTCACCGAATCTTCGTTGAAATGTAGCTCTCCTAAGAATGTATATCCTAAATACTTTGAATATATATATATATATATATATATATATATATATATATATATATATATATATATATATATATATATATATATATATACACATATAAAAGACCTGCACCACTACAATCCTCTGTCATGAAGGATCTTGGCCTCAGTACTAAGCAGATAAAGTACCATTTCTTGGTCAATAGTTGTGCAAGGAGGTGATTTGACAGATATCACGCTCAAACGCCAGGTTTTCTCCATTAATCAATTAAGGGTACCCACTTTAGAGGCTAGGTACGCCCCAGGAGGTCTCCCAATCCAAGGTCAATAAACTGAATAAATAATCTATCTGCCATAAAAGCAGAGTTCAAAACCTTGAACCTTGAGCACTGGAAGCTCTACTATTGAGCTACTCCACTCCCTTTTTATAATTACATAGTATAAATAAATATCTAGATAAGTTAGTACCTCAAAAATTAATGTTGCTCCTGGAGGTATTTTTGGTGGACTTCCAGCTGAACCATATGCATAATCTTCCCTACATGTAAGTATAGCAATCTCTCCTTTTCGCATTGTTGCTACACCAATATCCCAAGCTTTTATAACATTCCCTAAAACAAATATTTCAATAGCATTATATGTTAACGTGAATTCTAATAATTTGATAGATATAATACAGCTCTTTATCGAGACCAATATACAAGTAATATACTAGTTCACTAGAATTCCGCATAGATTAGGCATGGTTAACGATCATTTCGGTCACACTTATTCATGGAATGCTTCAACAAGTATCAGAGTTATTCCAAGAAGTGTGAAAGAGACCAATCTTTTGAGTTAGTTACAAAAAACTTTTCCGCCATTAAAGTATTTGTACACCTTTAGTCATTTACAATTTCTAAAAAAAAAGTCATGTAGAGTTGTACAGCTTGAAGTACAGATTACATTTCATTTAAAGAAATAATAAAGAAAAACACCTTTACTTAGTAGTTCATAGTCCTTCAATATCAAAATGCTTACTTTTTCACAACTGATAACGAATAAATTATAATCTATAGACAATTTATAAAAATTGAATTCTTAACATTTATTATTTATTTATCTTTTACCTTTATCACTATACACACAATATTTATTTTGTAGCAAAATTATTAAATTAGTTTTAAAGGTTTCAACTTTTTTACCTAAATGTAATCACTTTTGTATCTATTGAATTTCAAACTTTAAAATTATCGTTATTCATAGCTACAGTGCTTAAAAATAAAAATATGCAGATACTATCATTATCATGAATTATCATTTATCACTATCTCTAGTCGGAAACATAAATTAGGTTTATTTCTATATTTGATAACATAACATCCTAAACGTTGTGTATTATTCAGTTCACACTATCTTTATATTTAAAAGATAAAAAGTGAAGATGATCTGGGTTAGACAACTGAACACATCTGTAATCGTTCAGACACACTCAACTATTACCACATTCCATATCATGACTAATTAGATATTGTCCACATAACACTTGTGAACTAGTATCATATATATATATATATATACAACAAAATCAATCATCAATGTTTTGAGCTAATTTTTTAATACAAGTTTCAATTAGTTGCTGGTTATGATCTTAAGCTTAACACTCATTCACATTAAACTCTTCAAGATAACAAAATTTAATTGAATCAAGAAATAACTACTGATTAGAAAATAAACTCACCTTTTCCAAGATTGAATTCAAAAGGTGACCTTTCTTTGCTAGAATCAAATACAGTACCATCAGTAAGCTTTCCTTCATAATGAACAATCACTTTGCACCCTTGAGGAGGTGTCCCTTCCGAAGTTCCTGGTCTGATAATTTCTTTAAGAACTCCTCCATCCTTTTTAGGAGAAACGTCAACAGCATTATTGCTGGGAGTATATTCTTCTTTCAGACGAAAATTTTCTGGGGTTGCATTTCGGTCCATAGAACCCATTCTGATACTACAACCTGATCAAATAAAACGATATAGTAGGAGCTGAGTTATTAGGTCTAAGACACAAGACTAACTAGAAGCAGTAACTCAAATGCTCTGAACGGAGAATCAGAACGAACACTCTAGAAGGTTCTCTAACCTATTTATAACTTGAACGTACCGGCAAAGCTGTTATCACTATTTCAATACATAAGTACATAAAAATTCTGAATTAAATGATACCAATTAAAAAAATTAATAATCGAATGTGTTAAACACTTAAAGTAGTAAAATAAGTACCTTAAAGAGCCGTGTTTCTTCAAAATTTCAATAAATAAATTTATTTACGCTTACAAATTAAAACTTTTAATGTAATAATCAAGACTACGGAACAGTCAATGTCCGTTATTTTTAGGAGATTAATGAATCAGTCAATGTCCGTTATTTTTAGAAGATTAATTATGAATGAATGCCGAAGCAAATTATTCGATAATTAACTTGGTATATGAATTAAAATATGTATTTTTACTTGACATGCATACAGTCGGTTTACGACAAAATCACAGATGGCAGTTGAAGTAATTTTATCATACGCAGTAATTATCACAAAAATTGCATATTAACATTCTGTTGACAAAGATTTTCGTAGATTACATATTTTCAGTAAATTAACTATTTGGTCTCTTGTTGGATAATTGAAATTTAATCCATCTAACTACGATTGTTTGACCCCATAGTTACATTTTATTGTTTCCGCAGGAATGATAACTTTTAAAATTAAAATTAACTGCTTTATTATTATATAGTGTTTAATTGTAAATTCATAGTCATTCATTTAGGATGAGCCAGTTACAGACTGCGGAACTATATAGTTATGATTACAGAGGTTGTTAAACGCTTAAACGCCAGGCTTTTGTTAAGGTAAATCAACCAGCAGCCAAGGGTGGATCTACGAGGGAGGGAATGTCTTTCGGGCTGACATGCTTAAGAAAATTTCTATGAACTTTTACATATAGAAATTTAAATATTAATGTTATTGTAATTTTCTTGGATTCATCTTATTAGAACTGCTTCTCGCCTTATCGAGACATCGTACAACTAAATTTTAAAAATTTGTAGATTTTTGAATAGTTTTGTTGCATCTGTAGCTGACACTGTTTGATTTGGAATGCTCCGAATGCTGGCAGGGATGAGGACATGGACGTATTTAGGTGAAATAAAGTGTTAACATTTTATACTCTTCATTTTTAAATAGATGTTAATAAAAATGGTTGTAAAACTAACTTCATTTCGTTTACCAATTCTTAAATTCATCAATAAATGCTGGTCATTGTTAAGAACCTGTTTTTGGCAATAGGAAAACCTAACTTTGCTTTATATTTAATCATAATTACTAGAAATTTATTTTAACAAGCGAATAGTGTATGGTTCTATTTTTAGGGGCCGATATATTAAGTATATTATTTCACGTTAAAACAACCCGGTTACAGGTCTTGGCCGCCTCTAACCGTTTCCTCCAATCGTCACGGTCTTGCTCCGACGCCATCCAGTTCCTAACTCCCAGCATGCTACTGGCGTCTCCTGCCACACCATACGACCATCTCAGCCTTGGTCTTCCTCTTCTTCTTGTTCCATAGATTGGCTGTTTGGGCATTTCTCCATCCGCCATTCTAGGAATATGCCCCGCATATCTTGAACGCCTCAACTTCAGTGCTTTCACAACGTCTGCTTCTTCGAAAGCATTGTACCGCTCCTGGTTCGTGGGCCGCTTCCTCTCCTCTCCATCTTTCACTTCCCCAAAAACACGGCGGAGAACTCTTCTGTCAAAAATAAGCAGTTCTTTTTCAGTGGCCTTCGAAGTATTCCAGCACTCCAATTCATAAAGAAGTACACAAGCTTCCCACAATGTCTATATCATCTGCATAGCCCAACAGTTAGACAAGCCTGGTAAAAATGTCTCCTTGTCGTTCGCGTAAACCAGCGTCTCTCATGGATTTCTCAAATTCTAGGTTAAAGAACATACAGGCCAGCGCATCCCTTGTCGAAGTCCTTTACCTGCGCGAAATTCTTATGATCTGTTACCATTTACTCTAACCATACATCTGAAACCCTTCATGGTAAGCTTTCCAAACGTATAAGTTTCTCAGGTATGTTAAATTATCTGAGAGCATTATACAGTTCTTTGCGTATTATGCATTCATACGCTGCCCTGAAATCGATGAATAGATGGTGAGTTTTGGTTTTATACTCATGGCCTCTTTCAAGAATGGTTCGCACACAAAACATCTGGTCAGAGATGGATCTTCCTTTCCTAAATCCACTTTGGTACGGACCGAGCTCACGTTCAGCATATGGCAAAAGAGGTCCAAACAGAATATAATATAGTATCTTATAGGCGCAAGACAGCAGCGAGACACCTCGATAATTGCTGAACAGCAACCTATCACCCTTTTTATGTATAGGACAGATAACTGACCTATTCCAGTTAGAGGGCATCATCTCATCAGTCCATATCACACGAAGGAGATCCTGTAGAGCTTTGGTAACCTCGTTTCCTCCGCATTTTAAAAGTTCAGCAGGGATTGCGTCAGCACCAGAAACCATTACTATTTTTGAGTTTGTTGATGGCATCTGCAACCTGATCTTCATAAGGCGGTTCAAGATCTATCTCTTATTCTCCCACCTGTATTTTGTTAATATCTTCTTCTTGATTTATTATTTCATCGCAGGTATCTTCTTCACTTGACTTGAGAAGATTATTGCATTAATTCCTCCATTCGTCAAGGACCTCCAACATGTTGGTCATCAGGTTTCCTTCTTTATCCCTACAGGATTTTAATTTATTAATATATTTCTTTCTTTTCTTGTTGACCGTTCTGAATCTATACCTTGTTTGTCATTGTGTAGCAGTTCTATATTTTCTATCTCCTCTTTTTCCTTCTGTCGTTTCTTTTTAAGATATAAACGTTTCTCTTTTTTCCTTCTCTATCGGTATTCATCAACTCCTTGTGGTTGTCCGAATCATTGCTTCATATGCAATGTTCGTGTTTGCTCTGCATTCCTCATCAAACCAAGATGACGTTGGTTCCTTCTCATATGGTCCTAGCACTTCGTCAGCCGCTTCCATTGTCGCTTTGAAACAGTCCGACTAGAATTATTCAATGTCCTGGCCAGCATCGTAGCTTCCCAGGCGTAATTTAGTATCTAATATTTCAGCATAGCTATACTGAGTCTGTACATCGATTAGCTCTCTAAGGTTGAAACTTTTGGTTTTCTTGAAATTTATCGAATTCCTCGCCGAGCAGATCCTCGCCGTCACTGTGCTGTGCTCAGAAAGTGGTCCGAAGCTACATTTGGTCCTCTGAATGTCTTCTTCTTTATCTTCCTCTTCGTGCCATTACTAGCGTCGAGGAGCCTCAATCCAATGCATCCATGACTCTCGGTCCCTACTAAGCCGCCTCATTTCCTGGAGAGTTTTGCCTCTATTCTCTCCAATCCGCTGCATATATTCCTGATAGGAAATTCTGGGGCGGCCCCTCGGTCTCCTCCCAGTGGGTCGAGCTTCCAGAATCTTCCGTGGATCTCTCTCCTCCTCCATCCGGCAAACGTGGCCAAACCACTTCAACTGTCGGTTTTCCAGTAAAGTCCTTAGCTCCGCCACCTCCAGGTCCTGTCTTATGCGTTCATTTCTGAGGCGGTCTCTCCTGGTCTTTCCAGCAGCTCCCCACAGAAACTTCATCTCGGCTGCTGTCACACGGCTAACCTGCTTGTCCAGCATAATCCAGCTTTCGCTTCCATACCTGAGGGTTGGGAGGTAAACTGACTTGTATATATACCTTTTTGTTTCCTTGCCAACTTCCATGTACTATAGTGTTGCTGATAGGGTAATATACCTGATTGGCTTTGGATATCCTATTCTCTACTTCTGGGTCAATCTTCCCCTTGTTGCTGATAATTGTACCCAAATAGGTGAATTCTTCCACAACTTCAAGTACCTGCCCGTTTCAGACCAGCTGGACGTCTTCTTGTTCCTCTCTTGATATGACTAGGACTTTGCTTTTGGAGCTATTGATAATCATACCTTTGCGGAATAGTTCTTCCTGCCATTCTACAAGGGCCTGCTGCAGCTTGTCTTTCGTGTCTGCAATCAGAACGATGTCATCGGCATATAGTAGGCTTTGGACCATAACATCCCGCAGGTTCCATTTTCCGACGACCGTCCAAGCAGTACGACGCTTACAAATTTTATGGATTTCATCCATAAATATGATGAACAAGAGGGGACTTAAACTGTCTCCCTGCCTGACTCCTCTCTCCATAGAAAAAGGCTTGGGCTCTCTACCATTAATCCTTACCATTCCTTTTGCTGCCTTATATGCTGATCTAATTGCCATGATAAGATCACATGGAACATTTTTTGCCGCCAAAGCATTCCATATTTCTTGTCTTGGAACAGAGTCAAATGCTGCTTTGAGGTCCCGAAATTCCATATATATTCTTGTCTCTGTCCCATACTTTCTCTGCGATGCCTCTTAGCACGAAAATGTGATTTTGAGTCTGCCTCTCCGGACGAAAGCCTGCTTGTTCGTTCTCAATTTGATTCTCAACTACGAGCCTTAATTTTCTTTCTAAGATTGAGGAGTATAATTTGTAAGCCACTGAAAGTAAGCTTATTGGCCTATAGTTATCACAATCTGTGGAGCTGCCCTTTTTATGAATATGGACAATTACACTTAACTTCCAATCCCTTGGGACTATCTTTGTATCCCATACTTTTTGGAGGAATTGTTGGAGAAGTTTAATTAATTCCTGTCCTCCAAATTTTATTAATTCGGGGACTATGCCATCCCTTCCCGCTGCTTTACATATTTTAATTTTTTGGTCTTCCTCAATGACTTCTAGACTTTCCAGAGTATTATTTTCTACCAGATGTTCTTCTGGATCAGTGTGTCCTCCTCCTGAGAAGTGTCCCTGATAGAACTCCTTCCACCGTTCAAGAATTTTCGTTTCTTCGGTGACCATGTTGCCACTAGAGTCTTTGACATTTCTCACTGGCTTACTTATTTTTCCTCTTAATAGCTTTACTTTATGCCAGAACTTCTTAATATTTTCCCGGTGATCTTCATCGAGACTTTTTCCAAATCTTTTCCATAACTCTCTTTTCGCTTGCCGGACTGCTATTGCCTCTGAATGTCTCACATATCGTAAATTGCTTCTATGGTGTCTTTATATTAGAATATGGCCAATCTGGCTTTATTAAGTATATCTCTTGGAATTTATGAGGGTACAGGCCTGTCAGGTACTGTTTAAAGGCCCCTTTATATTGCTGTAGTAGCTAACACCCATTAAATCCCAATTCCTTCATCAAGATCAGTTAAAAACCTAATTTAAAAAAATAATAAAACAAACAATTTGGGATTAATCAAATTAGTTAAATAGAAAAAGGCAAACTTAAGATATGGTGACAGTATTAATAAATGGTTGTTCCTAAATTGACCGTGAGATACCTTTATAATTTATCACTCATTATTTCGGTTACAGTTTCCAGCAAGACTAAAGCAAAACAAACAAATATACATTGAGAAAATATAGAAACCATTTTTTTTCTCTCTGCCTTGCCTTGCAGGCAATACGGGTTGGAGCAGCAGTATGCGTATGCCACTGCTGGCAGTATAGGTCTATTTAATTAAAATGTTGTTTAACATTATTATTTATGAGGTGTAGACTTGTTTGTATGCACAAGCCGACGTTTTTCCTTTTCTCCATTCTTCCTCCTTCTTCCACCTGAAGCCGGTCCTCGAAGCAGCTGCAGCTTTTCTTAATTTTCTTCTCTTCTTCCCAAATTAAAATGTGTAGAGCCTACAGCATCTTTCCACCAGTATACGAATTCCCAATAATGTGGGTAATTTTCTCTGCTCATTAGCTGGGGGAACATGCTCTCTGTCAGCGTATATATCCCCATCTCTCTTAGGAGCTTAGCTCATAATGCTTCATAGGCAGTACATTCGACGACCACATGTTCGGCGGTCTCCGGAACGTTGCAGTTGGGGCATAGCGAATCAATATTCTTCCCGTGTTTAACGAGCTTCGCTCGGAAGCCCCCATGTCCCGTAAGGAGTTGAGACACCCAGTAATCTGGGAGGATCCATCTTGCATCTAACCGTGACTTGACGGTGGGGAAGTACTTTCTTAGGATAGCTCCCTTCGGAGTTGCCATCCATCGCAGGTTCCATTGATCAACTGTGTCCTCCCTGATAATTCTTTTCCACCTTCTTGGGACTTCTTCAATTCTCATGTTTAGATGTTCCGATAGATCTGCCGTACCTTCCCTTTTCATTTTAAAGAGGTAATAGTCTTCTCGCAGGAGGAGATCAAGAGGTGTGAGGTAGAAGAGTCTGACATAAGCAATTTTCCAGCTTCTTGGAAAGTATCCCCTATCTAGCCAGTCGTTGAGGATCGCAAGCAGCCTATTCTCTAAACAGAGAATACTATTCTTGAGCATTGCCGCATCAATCGCATCTAAACCTGTGGCCCGGTCAGTCTTTTGCCTTTCCACGGCACTACGGAGGTCCCAAATGTCCCATGATGGACACAAGTCCGTCCAAGGCGGGTATACCGTGGCTCTTCTCACAAATGTATGGTCATTACCATCCTGTGATGGATCATCCCTGGGATATGTCTCTTTAATAAACATCTTTGCTGTTTCCTCTAGAGTGGCTGCCTGAGTGCCCCCTTGCTCCCTTGCAGGGCTGCAATGACCTGCTGTGGGGTCAGTTTTCCAATGGCCATCCTGTATGGGATACCCCAGGGATTCTTCGGTGGCTGTTCCTGGATGAATTCATGCCATGATCTTCGTTTCTGTGAGCGCAACTCATTCCGGTATACCCTAGCCTTAGACCTGTACTCCTCACAAAGTGTAGCACCTTGTAGAGCTCTCTCTTCAGGGTGGTTAAGGCCGGCGACCACCTTGGGACAGGTCGTTCTTGAGATTTTGAGCAGTACAGTGATATAAGCCATCAATGGACTAACTCAGTCGTCGGAGTCGCCTTCGGGCGCTTCAGATATCTAGCAACAAAAATTATAGGTGTTACGGAACGATAGAATATCATATTATTGTAGTTCAAACCGTTCCAGTTCCATCAGTGTATTAGATTCTCTTAATTGTTCCAAGTGCTCCTAGTTCCGATTTGTTTTACCGTTGCTTTTAAGTAGTGTACCTGGATTATTTTTGAAACAGCCTGAAAAAAAATTCATTATTATAAACATTTAAGAGCGATGATCGACGAAGACCCAAGGAGATAATAGAAGATTATCGAGAAAATTATCTATTGCAGAATATGGAGGGAAACCGTATGTTCTTTGCTCCCTTTCCCTTGCGAAGAGGGAGACATTAGTCCTCCCCAACTTTTGAGAGTGTTTATGGATAAGGAAAAATTTAGGCTTGTGCATTCCTACGTTGGCAGGTCGGTATCACACAATATATTTTCCTCTTCATTGTTCCTGTAGTTATAAAGACTATATCAAATGTATAAGAATCATATAATAATTAAACAATTCTTTCTTGAAGATTTAATTAAAGAGAGGGTAGCCATTCATTAAGAAGCTACTATTATTTCAAAGGTCACCTACCAGATTGGTCTAGAGATGTCACAGAGGCTGGTTGCGTCATTTAATTTCTTGAGGGAGGAAGGAGCCAAAAAATTGAGATGTGGAAGCTTTGAGAATTAATATAGTAAAATTGTAATAGTCTAGTTGTCCTTAGTTTTATAAATAATCAATAGTTGACCACTTCTATTGTATATGTACTTACCACTGTTCCGACCTCTTATTGATTTTTTCTGAAAAAATATTTGTGTTAAACAGATATAATTCTCAAAACATGTAGCATAATTTTAACTTAAACACAAGAGGAGCTTGCGGACGTAGGATTGCTGATTTCAATAGAATATTTTTGGTCATAGGGCAAATGTAAATTCTGAAACTTAGCGCTGAGATCATTCATGAGCTTCGGAAAGCCATCAAGCCATTCCAAAACTTACCGATGGAAGAATGGTAAAATTTCTAAAACTCAGCGCTGAGATCATTGATGTGCATCGGAAATCCATCGAGCCATTCATAAGCCCATCGATATAAGAGTGGGAAATTCCTGAACTCAGTACTTAGATCATTGGTGAGTATCGGAAATCCATCAATAGATTAGCGCTAAGTTTAGGATCTTGTCCCAGACTTGGTTGACAAGCAGTGCAGGTCTTGGCAGGAGGAATACCTCTCGACCTCCTGCTGAGAGAAGACTACTTCCGGTACAAGATTAGGAGAGAATGCTTAGCGGCTCTACCGGATTACCTCCGAATGAGAATAGGAGTTGATTCAAGAAACTGGAAGAAGATCCTCCGGGAGGATACAGTAGAGGACTGGAACCGACGGTGGTTGACGACTCCGGAAGGAGCTACCCTAAGGAAGTACTTCCCCACCGTCAGTTCGCGACTAGAAGATCTACTGGATCTCACAGATTCTCACGGGGCATGGGGGTTTCCGAGCAAAGATCGTTCAGTATGGTATAAATATCGATCCCCTATGCCCAAGTTGTGGGGCACCGGAGAAAGCTGAACATGTTGTACTTACCTGTACGGTCTATGAGTCACTGAGAGCGAAACTGTTGAGAGAAACAAGTCTCTTTGTCCTAACAGAGAGAGATCTTCCTCAACTTATCGCCAAAAACAAATACGTGCACTTCAAACGTTTTATAGTTGGATGGAAAGAAGTTGTACTATCAACCCACTTCTTTCTTGGAAGAAGAAGAGAAGCTGCAACGGGGAGGCCACCAGAATACATAGAAGAAAAGAAAACCAGACGAAGTGAAGAGAAGGCGCTCGATCAACTATATTGCTTATTCCAGATACCTATAACTTTTTTTTTTTAATATTTACTTTTGTATTATTTTTTTAAGATCTTTAACAAGTATTACATATGAGAATAACTTTTCCTTCAAAATCAATCTATTGACATTTTCCTCCCCAATCCTTCAAGAATAAATAATAGACCAACACTAACGTGGACGTTGATAAATGTATTTTGTATGCTTTTGGGTTCATTCATTAATACATTCAATGGAAATGATATATAGTTTTAAAATGAAAAATTGTTTTCAAAAATTAGGTAGAAATCAGTATCTTTAAACAAATAACAAACATATACTAATGCACTTGTGATTAAGAAAAGTGGCCTACAAAAAGATCTAAGATCTAAAGATCTGCTATTTCTTTGATATAGTTTTTAATATTTTAATTTTAAGTGGAATTTAAATCTGCTTGACCGAACTTCTTTTATTAACTAAATCTTATTGATTTTTGTACAGATATATTTTTTTATTTATTTATATAATTTTATTTTTAAAATTATTATGTTTTACAAGAGTAAATATATAGAGTGTTATAAATTGTTAATTTTCTCATATTGAATTCCTAAGTTCCTATCAACAACCCATACGAACAGTTTACCTCGTGGGGTCTTTTCAGTTTACGTTTGTTTAAAATGGCTGCCGTTGTTGACGAAGTGGGGAAATCTGCGGAAAAACAAATTGATGAAGAGATAAATGATGAAATAAATGATGAAGATGTTGAAAACGGGGCATCGGAAGCCTCTAAAAAAAAGAAGCGAAAGAAGAAGAAGAAGAAAGCAGGTACTTGTTTTATATTTCTGATTTTTTATTTCATAGGATATTCAACTATTATTATTTTTCTGTATCCTTAAGTGTTTAATAAATGCAAACAGATATGTAAAGAATTAAAAAAAAGAGAAATTATTTTGAAAAATATTTTGAAGTAATGTAAATAGCCTAGCAGTCACATGTTTATTTTGTGGAAGGTTTTATAAGTACTCTACCTCTTAATTTTAAAATTAAATTCCACAGTCTCAGCGGACAACATTTTATAATCAAACATTACCTATAATTTAAATTGTTAGTTCTGGTCAAGCTTTGTTTTTTCTATGAACCTATATATTATATATGCATAGGTTTAGTTAATTACTTAGTTTAATCTGTGTTGAATTTTATTTTTATTTTTTAATTGAAAAATACATTTATGAAATCCCACATATGTAAATAACATATATGTCGGGTAAGCGCACCAGCGATTGACATATTTAAGGAAGTTTCTGTTCTTTTTGGCTTATACCACCACAATAATTATAGTTATAAACTTCTCTGTTGGACATTTAGAATTTCTAGAGGCTCCTTTTTCTATTTAGCACAGAAAAATTCGAATTTTGTATTTAAAAATGAGGATAAGATAACATAAATGTTCAACTTATTCTTAGCAAACTTTGTAAGAATGTAAGCGACATACTGATCTCAAGAGCAATTTAGAAACAACAATGATAGGCATTTTAAAATTTTCTTATGGGAACTTTGTTCATACAGCTGTCAATAGAGAGCATTGTTCTTCAATCTAGATAAATAATGGAATGTTTAAATCAACAAGGAGACTTATTATTTACATCGTAAGTCCAACCTGTCGATTACTGGGCTCTGTCCATAACTGGTGCATTCACCCTACTTGGTAGCCTGCTAGGTTTGTTATCTTTAAAATTAAAATATTTTCATAATTCATAATTGATACTATATCTTAATTTGTTGCGTGTGAACTTATAAATGCTGTTATCAGTTAGGAAACCATGAAACCATTTCCTGTTACAAATATATTTATTATTGAGATAAAAACATAAATCTGTATTGCCTTATTTTTTTGTTTTCTTTATTTGATCATTGTACATAAATTTGAAAAATAATTCATTTTTCTGATTTATGGCAGAAGATCAATAGATTTTTCTTCTTTTATCTGTTTTAGTACAAATAATTCAACCCAAAAAGATCGGACATTGTTGTTTAAAAAAATTACTTAGTTTTGTATTTGGTATAGTTATTCATTGAGGTGTTCTATACAACATATTAATAGTCTCTGAAGGTGAGAGACCAGCTTGGGTGGGATTGGTCTTTAAAGATTTTTTTCCTCATGTCTTATGGGAACTATAGACTTTTTAAAAGGGTATTTGTATGCAAAACTAGCTGTCATCTGTGGCTTTGTTCGCAATATATTTCATATCTGCAATTTTATTTTATTTACACAAAATGAGTAATAGTCTTAAAATTATGATAAGGATAACTATCATGCATTGAATTGAACGGATAATTGCATTGCATTGAATTTATTAAGATTTTTCCTTAATGATGTAAAAAATTTAATAATCTTAAAAAAATGAAAACTTTAAAGAATTTGTTTAACTAACTTTAGCTTTGAGTTTGAGTTCTCTTAAGCTCAACCTTATTGCACAACTACAATATAAGATGAACTAACATTAAAAATTTCATCTTTATATTCATAACAACTTTGTACAATCAGTCAATAAGCGATTGATTTATGGTCAATAAGCATTTTAAATAGTACCAGGAAATATGTTAATAAAACCAGGAATATTATATAAAATATGCTGTATGTTTTTTAATATTCATTTAGTTGATATTTCTTTCATGTCAAGAATCCAATTATCTTTCTTGAGTATTTATAGATTTCTAAGAGATGTAGTTTAGAATTATTCCAAGAACAATTTTATTTTTAGAGTTATTTTTTTTAACCACTTATAGTTTGAGTTCTTTCACAGCCAGCCTTATTCCACATCTACAGCATAAAGGGAACTACTATTATCATATTTAAGACACAGTTACAATAAGTCTGTGATTGATTTCTTCTTCTCCCTTCTTGTGTGCCTTTCAGCGTGGATGAGCCTCCAGCCACTTTGACCATACATCCGTGTCTCTCCCTACTTCCTTCTTCTGACGTAGGGCTTTCCCTCTTTCCTCACCTAGTCACTGGATATGTTCTTAGCCTACCTCGTTTCTTGTCAGTGATTTATTACATTCTTAATTATCTTCCTTTTACATATATAAATTAAAGTATACACTTTTTATATGGAAGAATATATTCATCTTTGAAAGATAGAAGAAGGGAATCACCAGATGAATTTGCTGTGGTGTTGTTTTACCCATAAAATTTCAAATTTATTATGATATTTTGAATTTTGTTCTACAATTCATTCCAATTTACAGGATGACATTATAGTATTTTCTTGTTTTATTATTAAAAATCAGTATATAACATTTTAAAACATTAACCATTAAATACTTAGATGACTTTTTTCCTCTCTGAGTTAATTATCCGCTGGGAATATCATTTTTAATTTCTTATTTATTTTCTCATTAATTAATTAATTTGCTTTGCTTTTATTCAAAGCCTCATCAAATTTTTCTTTACCCTTTTTTGTACTTCTAAATGTTCTGTTTGTTTACTTGACACTCTTACATCATTTTGATTGCATGGCTAAATATTATGAGATAGTAATCAGCTGCTAGTTTTATATTCAATTCAACCTCAAAGGCATCATGTACTTATCTTTTTTATACATTTATTTGATAAATTTAGACCACATCTAATCAAAAGTCATTATTTTGAATGCCTTATTTTTAAAATGATTTTATTGAGAACATTATGATTTATTTCATCCCATCATTATAAGTTTCAGGATTATAGATGAACTTAAAGTTTGGAATTATGTTTAGGAGCAGGAGAGGCTTCTGCTGATGTTCCAGGTGAAGATGAAAATGCTCCAAATGATGCTGCAGAAGAGATAGCAGAAATTGATCTCAATGAAAAAGATGAAACTAAAAAGAAGAAGAGGAGGAATCGTGGAAAATCTAAAAAGCAGACTGACCCTCCTACTATTCCTGTTTCTAATCTCTTTTCAGAGGGTTTGTAATATTTAGTTTGTTGTATCAATTTTCCTATGTATTAACTGATTATTTATGTTATTTTTATGAATATGAGTATTGAAATAGCGGCATCCCGCAGGTAACCAACCTTGTACTATATTCTTTAAATTCTAACCAGAGTGAAAAGGTCAAGATTCATTCCCTGGGCTCTGCTCCAAAATGAATTTCAACTTTCCCATGCTACAATCAAAACGGCACTGCTAGATTTGAGGCTGCTAAGTTAATGTCTTAACACTGTCAGTCAGATTAAGGATGAGGTTTTAGACTGTTATTTGTTCTAATTTAAATAAAACAAAAAAAAAAACTCTTTTATATTCAACTGTCATCCTACCTCACTATAACCAATGTCCAACAGACAGATTGTTATAATACTCATTAAAGAAATTTAATTAGTTTTTATATTCAATTGCACTCTGTTTAGAAACATAAACTGGCCAGTCATTTATTCCACTCATAATCTTCTTTCAGTGTCACTACAGCCTTCTCTAGATGGTTCGGTCATATTATTACAACAAAATAAATTAAAAAAAACTTTCACCAAAAGACAAACTAACTTAAAGCATATTATTAAAACATCCTTTTCTTTGTCCAATAATTTGTAAGGATGGTCTGGTATTTGTATCCACTTTTAGGTTTTGATTTAGTAATAAATGTAAGCATTTATCAACTGTTTTTGTTATATTAGGAAATTTCCCTGTTGGACTTGAAATGATGTATCCAGGGGATGAAAGAAAAGCTAAAGACAGATTCACTAATGAAGAAATGCGTGCCCTTGATCGTCTTCATAATGATATATATAACGAAGCAAGACAAGCTGCTGAGGCTCACAGACAGGTCAGATTTTAAATTTGAAAGTATGTATAACCAATATTAGTTTTTTCAATATTGATTTTCTTATTTTTTTAACAGACTCGGAAACATATTCAGAAATGGGTCAAGCCTGGCATTACTATGATTGAGTTGTGTGAAGAGCTTGAAAAAACAGCACGTTTGCTGATTAAAGAGGAAGGTTTAAAAGCTGGCTTGGCCTTTCCGACGGGCTGTTCTCGTAATCATTGTGCTGCTCATTACACTCCTAATGCTGGCGATCCAACAGTTTTACTTTATGATGATGTCACTAAGATTGATTTTGGAACTCATATTAATGGTAATAATGTTTTTATTAATTGCTGAGTAGGCATAGTTATTAGAATTTATGGAAAATGTCAATGGTTGAAATAATTAAAAGTTGTCAAAAAACAAGAACATTATTTTTAGAGATACATTTTCTTTATCATATTATTGTAACCAAATAATACACAAATTAATGTTAATAGGATTTGATTATTTTTGTTGGCTTATTACAGAGTATACATAATTAATTCCTTATATTCTGATATGAATTGCATTGTATATTGCTACCTTACTAGAGGTGCAGGGAAAGTGAACAATAATTTGTTTGTGTACTTTCACCGTTGTCTGCTCTCCACACTAACTTATTCTATCAAATAATCTACTATCAACTTTATCTTCACCATTAAAAATCATTAATATCACTTATCTAATTTCTTGGTTCTGTAAAAACAATGTATTTCTTGGCCTTTTTAAAAATCAAATTTTATTGAACTATTGTAGACAGCAGTAAAGTGAAATATTCAGCTAAGACTAATTGATTCTGGGTACTATTAATTTAATTTTAGTTTTGATGGAACAGAAAGATTGCCATCTACTGAGTCTGTTGATGTTGCATATATTTACTGTTCCTATATTAACAAGGAGGTCTCTGTGTTACTGGATTTGTATCTAGTCACATCGTTCCCTACCTAACATTTATATTCTATACTGTTATTTTTGTTCTATTTATTTATTTTCTATATTAAGGAATTGAACGATTTCTACTTGGATCACAAAAAAAAAAAAAAAAAAAGTGCAGTCTCATCAAGGTTTCTAATTATGATATATCATATCAACAATGTATTATACATTGATTTTTACTATTTATTCTACATTCCTTTTAATTAAGTGGTTTATTGTAGATTTGCGTTTACCTGTTTTATAAATATGTACAGTTCTCACTGTTTTTATAGTTTTCTTGATTTAAGATAAAAATTGTTATTTAATATTGTTGGGTTAAACACACTTTTTTACTCTAGTTGGAGGTCGGAAAGGCAGGTTATCCTACAGGCCACCAAGCTATTCTTGCCAGGATAAGATAATTCATGTAACTAAATAAAATTCAAGTCAGAGAGACTTTAGACCATAGAGGTGGAATTAAATTGATACATCTATCTAGGCTGATTTCCTCACATTTAACCACCATGGCATTATTTATTCTACTAATTAACATTATTCATTTTCTGTCAGATATCAAAATTGCTTATAGGAATGTAATTGAGGTTAGTTACAAGCACTTAAAATTTATTTATTTTTAAATGATTTTGAAACTCTGGAGTTGGGCCTTTTTATGAAAGGTTTTATGTTATCAAGTATTCATTGTGTTTTTTTATAAATTTTAAGATTACATTGCTTTTATGAATTTGAGCTGAGTGGATGGAAAATGGGAGCAGATTTTTTTATCATCTGTAGTAATATTTTATACTTATTTTTTACCTATGTCTTTTATGCCATTCCTATCAAATTTTCATCGCACTTGCATTGAAAAAAGAAAAGAGAAATATTTAAAATTATTACAGTTGACAGGGCAGGGACATTAGTTTTTTGTAAGTATGGGGGAAATGATAATAAGCAGGTTGAAGGTTGTGTAAGTAAAGAGGAGTTACGTTTGCCTAACGTATTGGCAATATTTTTTATCTTTTTAATGTAGGAAGATGGATGTAGTAAAGATTGTTTAGTATGTTTTGGGAATCAATCCTTTCTCAGGCCTGGGTATTTCTTAAATTTTTGTGAGGAAAGAATATCTATTAGTCAGGAAAAAAATCATAGGATTGTTGACTAGCTTATTGTAGACCAAATTTGTAAGAAATTTAAAGATATCTTTTAGATGGCATACCATAAATGTTGTTGAATTTAACTTTTAAGTTATGTATATATGGGTTCGTTCTTGTATTAAAATTGTTCTAATAATAAATGTTTGCCTAGGAAGAATAATTGATTGTGCATGGACCTTATCTTTTAATCCTAAGTACGATAAACTTATTGAAGCTGTAAGGGAAGCAACTAACACTGGAATAAAAGTAAGTGATTAATAATTAGATATTAACTAGTGATTAAAATGTTAAATCTTTAAAACTCCACAAAATTCGTTTCCTCTCTATGTAATTTTGAATAAGTTTACTTTCAACAAAGTAGATTCTATTGAATACATTATGCTTTCATGAAACATGTATAATCTGAGTTAATTGTGAAAATGTATTCAGGATTTATGATAATAATTCTTAATGTCACTAATGCTATGATGTTTATTAGGAACTTATGTTTAATATTAATAATATAATTAATTAAATATTAATAATAATAATATATGTTAATATTAACTGTTGTATGTCGTAATTTTGTATAATACCTGTGGAGCTTGACCAGGTAGATCTGTCTTATACAGCTGTTTGGAGATCTTGATGTAAAGAATGGTTTTTGTCTCATTAGCTAATATTGTTCATCCTCATGAACCAAGTTTCCTTCCTGTTTCTAAAGTTATAACCCTCATCCTGTTTTGCTAACTAATCTTCTCAGTTTTTATAAACTGACCATGTCTGGGTCTCCTAAAAAGTATAGTTTCCTGCTTAATGTTTTCTAGTGGTCATATCTACACCAAAGACCTAAAGAAAATCATATCTTGAAAGTTCGCACTTTTGTTGCGCAGACAGAAAAATAAAGAATAATACAGGAAGACGTCTTTTTTTATTAAATTATATCTTGAAAGCTTTCTTTATATCACATTTTAGCTAATCCTCATGTTGTGAAAAATCTCATGAAAATTTTAATTTAATCACAATTGCCCCTTAATCACTGTACTAGTTTAAAGCTTTTCAACTAATTATATTTCACTTTTCTATCAAAATTGGTTTAATTATATGTTTCTACTCTTCCATAAGTACATTTTTTTTCCTGTTTAATTAGTCTATGCTTTCAAAATAAAATGGAACCTAATATTTTTAAGTAATTAATTGTTGACTATGTTCTTTCAAGGCATCACATTTTATATATCAATAAAAAAAAAAATCCTATAAAAATTAATGTTTTCAGGAAGCAGGAATAGATGTTCCTCTCTGTGAAATAGGAGCTGCTATCCAAGAGGTGATGGAGTCCTATGAAGTTGAGATTGATGGCAAGACGTATCCTGTAAAGTCAATTCGCAATCTCAATGGGCATTCTATTGCTCCATACAGTAAGTATTTGGAAAGCATTGTATTAGTAAATATTTTATTTGTTTTGCTATTACTTATGCTTAATTATTAAAGGAATCCATGCTGGAAAGACTGTTCCAATAGTCAAAGGTGGTGAGGCAACTGTAATGGAAGAAAATGAGTTTTACGCCATTGAAACTTTTGGATCAACAGGTCGTGGTGTGGTGCATGATGATATGGATGTTTCACATTATATGAAAAACTTTGATGCTGGCTTTGTTCCTCTCAGGTACCTAAGTTTTGAGTTATTTGCTTATCTACTAGTGAACCCAGCTTAAGGCTCGACTATAACCCGATGAGAAGGTTTAACCTCTATACCACCAATCACTATCTAAACATCTCAAAACCCAAATTGACATTATCAATTACAACCAGGGATGGGCAAAATTGGAATCAATGATTACACAATTACAACTGAAAATAAACCTTAATGGCCATGCCAATTTCGTACTTGATTCAGCAGCAGCATAATTATTGCAAAAATATGGCATGATTACCTGATTACTACTGTAATCGGAAACTTGATTATAATTGTATAATTACGTAGTCAAAATCACATAATCATAATTACTGTTATTGTAATTGTTGATTACGATTATGCCCACCTATGATTATAACAAGCTTATGTATAAGTTCTTCAATTGTATTAGCTAGGCACATGCTCTGTAACACCTTATTTATATTTTTTACTCTGTAAGCCTTAAGGTGGTTGTTCTTCCTTCAAAGTAAATGGCTACATTTCCCACCCAGATAATAATAGTTTCATAAATTCCATCTTTTCAGTTCTTGGAAAAAAAAACATGATCTAAGTAATTTTGTAACAAAAATAACGAGCATTTATTTCTCATCTTTCTGGAACTTATTTTTTCTGGTTAATGTGTACCTCATTTGAAAACTTAAACTTGTCTATGTATTCAAACATATTGTTTCCTCTCATATTCATGTTTGCTGTCATTTTGAAAATGTTTTGTAAAAACGGGACGGTTTTTAAATAGTTCTAGGGCTAATTAATTCTCAAGAATTATTTGACTTAGGAAGCTGAAACCGTTGTCATCTTTTTCGATTGTTTATGCTCTTGGTTTTGATATATGATATATTGTAAAAATATTATACTTTTCAAGAAAACCAAAATCCTTTATTTTTTAATTTTGAAAAAAAAATGCTATCAATTTTTATTTTAAATATTACAATAGGTGCACTAAAAATGCTGTAAATATCTGCCAATATTAAAATATACATATTTTTTAATTTAAATTTATATATATATTTTTTTATTTAAATGTTACTTACGTGCAACTTTATTCAAAGAACTACAAAAACTTGAATATAATATTTACAAATCACTGTTTAAGTATTTTATTTTGTAAAATGATGGGCCATAAAAAGCTAGGATTCCAAGTTTGTATTACAAATAAACATTTTAATATTTCTAAAATCCAAATGACCTATCTCCACTAAACAGTCTCTAAGTGTTGTGTACATGTTAGCTACCCTAGCTCAAAAACAAAAAGTCATACAAAACTGAAATTATGTATTTAAGGTAAGTTATATGACAGAGACTTTGATAAAATGTACTTACCTGAAGTCCCAGTTTTTATAATCAATTTTTACAATTTTCTTGTGAGTGGCTCCAACAATTTTTATAAAATTTGTTGTAGTAATGTACAATCAAATGGTTTTTAGTATCAGCAAGGTCTTAACCTCATTGAAATAGTCATTATGAAAGAAATCGAGTAGAAAAATAGTAGAAATATTTTCCTCTTATGAAATCTAATTTCTGAGAATTAGAATAATAATATAGATCTATATTATATATTGTAGAAAAGCTGAAGATTTTAGAAAAATTTATATCTTACAAATAAACTTGGAAAAAATAATGAAAAGTGATAAAAAAAAATTACTAATACTTAATAAATGTGGTTGTTAATTATTTTTTACTTTTATATTTATTTAGAGATTAATGTTGCTATGGAATCTAATTAGAATTTTCACATGAAAAATTTATTTTCAGTTTAACCAAAAAAAAAAATAAATAAAAAGCACTTTATTGTATTTGATTATAATTGTGGTCAGTTTATATTTATAGTTCTAGTAATATTCTGAAAGTTTATTATTTTCTACTCTTAAGTATTTTAAACCCTTCTTTCAATTGAAGCCATTTGGAATTGTTCCCTTTTTGAGTTGGCACACTAGTGCAATTTGAATGCTGAGAATGGACATTATAATGGTGAAAAATGTGTCATCTTCTTAAAATAATTCATAATATTTTGACTCAGCTCATCGACTATCAGTAGTGTTAAATGTATTGAATTAAACAACTGACAATTTCAATGAAATTGAAGTTGCCTATTTTACCTTGAAAAATAAAGTTGTATACATTTCAGTATTACTCTAATCAAATCATTTTATTATATCCAATTGTTCTTATTGTCTATTGCAGAATTCAGTCTTCAAAACAGTTGCTGAATGTGATAAATAACAATTTTGGAACGTTAGCATTTTGTAAACGGTGGTTGGATCGTTTAGGCCAGACTAGGTATCAGATGGCTTTAAAAGATCTGTGTGATAAAGGTAAGCAGAGCTGTATAAAGTTTCTATAATATTTATTTGACTGAAAAGGAACAGATAACGAAAGTATTTGTTAACTATACCATGTAATAATTTCTTTAACTTTATCATTGCAGGTGCTGTCGAGGCCTATCCGCCTTTATGTGATATAAAAGGATGCTACACTGCCCAGTTCGAACACACTATTGTTCTCCGTCCTACCTGTAAGGAAGTCATCAGCAAAGGGGATGACTATTAGGATTTTTATGAACAAAAGAATTTTAAATATGTTATTGTTCAGTTGTATATATCTTGAATAATTAAATATTTAAGTTGAATCAATTAATAAATCATTGATTTGGTTTTATTTTATTTTTTTCTAGATTATTTTTCTGCTACCAGGTACATTTTAATGAAGTTTTAAAGATAATTGATCATCATAAAGCTTTATGTTTTTCATTGTACAAAAAGTTCAGTTTTAAATCATTTGCTCTAATAATTATTAATTCAGTAATGGAGAATTTAGCATTAGAGAAAGTTATATATAAAAAGAGACCTGTATCGTAACTCGTGAAAGGTGTTAGGTTCATTACTTGATGAGGAAAGCACTTTGTTCAAGAAATGAAAAGCATTTTGAATGATATTAGATATTATTTAATATTGCGATAGAAAACTACTAGTACTATTGAGCAAAACATAAATTTATTTAGAATGGTAAATCAAAGTAATAAATAACTAAGTTATAGATAAAAAAAAAAATGAATAATGTGATAAAAGGAAGTAAAAGTAACAAGATTTAAATATGTTTAACGTTTTTAAACTGTGTTAAGAAGTAATCCTTATTTAGTATTTATTACTTCTTTTTTTTTTTTATCAAATAATTTAAATATTTACAAGAGAATTTTCATAAATTCTACTGATGGTTTATCTAATTTAGGCAATAGAATTCTAAAAACAGCCAATTCAATTTTCAATTTTTATTAATTAATAAATTTGTTTTGATATTTAAAAACATATGAATTTGGTGGTTTTGATATTCTATACTGGTTTTGATTTCTATGCTTAATGTTCTTTGAAAATGGCTGGACAAACGAATAAAGTAATGATTATATCATTACTCTATCATTCAAAAAGATTCAGATTGCTTCCTTAGAATTTATTTCTGACAGGTGTGAATGGAAAAACAAAGTTGAAAAATAATAATAGTAAATCATCAAAAGATCTAAGTGGGATTTATTTATGCAGTTAAAACAAGAAACTTTTTAAAATTTAACACAAGAAATTGAAAAAAAAAAAAAAAATGCACGAAATGGTTTGTAATAATAAGTTATTTTGAGTAAATATATTTTTGACCCATACACATTTATAAAAAATATATTACAATAGTAGAACTAAACATAAAATTTCTCATCTTATAAAAAAATTTCTAAGACATACCAGCGAGATGAGAGGCTAATGAATGATGGTAATACAAGAAAACAAAAATTGTATATTTCAAAATTTATTGAAGAAAGAAACAAAATAAAAGTTTCTTAGTAAGATGTCAACCAAGATCTCCCACAAAATAGTTTGATTTAATTACATTAATATTATAACAAAAGTCATAATTCATCTGATTAGTTGAATGTAATTTTATTGCTAATTATATAAATAACAATTATCATAATAATTAACAGGTGATCATGGTCTGTGGATAAAAAAAAAATTCTTTAGGTGAAATACCTTTATAAATAAAAATAAAACAAGGAACACTGCATCATAAAATCGCACACTTTTGGAAGATGCACATATAAAATCTGCAATTTTAAATACAAGAATTTCGGGAAATATTGCCATTTCAAGAACATTATAATTACAATAAAATATCTACTGAAGTAACAAATAATAAGTTCAAAAAATAAAACAAATATAATAGTAATAACAATCTTCAAACCCTATTTACTAAATTCATTTATACATCACTCTTACATTTTATATAAAAACATCACAATGAATTCTCAAAAGAGAAAAGAAAATAGTTTTAATTTACATGTTTGTTCAGTTGTATTTCATCATAGATTCTGAATATGACTAGCAGGTATGGATAAGGCAGACGTTTGATAAACGAATAAGCTTAAGTATAAAATGGGCATCACAATATATAAATTTTGTAAAAATTAATACAATGAAGATTGTCTGGAATGATGCAAATATTTGGCTTGTATACTAACATTTCTGTTATTTATTTTTTGTTAAATTCACTCTTTTCTGTTAAAACATTCTCAAAAATTAATAATTTGGTTATAAGCGGCGGACAGTTGTAACTAATAATTTTAAGTGGAATGTCTAAAAGATAATATTCATCAAGATATCACACAGCAGCATTTAGAATGCAGTCAAGTTATTAGATCTGTCAACTGTTTAGAATTATTCATAACAAACTTGTTCATTATAACTGAACCATATTCATTACTAATTCACTTACAAATTAGTAACACTAACATTGTCCTAATTCAACCATCACATGGTTTTTGATTATATGCCTGCAAGAGATGGCTCTGATAAATTGAGATTTTCTTTTCTTTTTAATGTTAAAATTATTTAAGTAAATCACTCCAATAAATAAAATAATTAAGAACCAAATTCTTCTGTTTCTGGTTCGATTTTCTTGAAAATAAATGAACCTCTACCATCCATATGGAGATAATACTAAACAAACAACAAAAGAAAGGTTGAAATAAATAATTTTTAAGAAAAATAAAACAGTTAAGAGTTAAAATTGATCGTACCTCATGATACACCCACAATGATTTCCGGTGTGAAACTGTAAATAATGTAATATTTGTTTCCCGACAATACTGATACATTGATCCTTCAACATCAACACTCACAGCACTGGTGCATTCATCAAGGATGGCAAATTGAGGAGCATGATAGAATAAACGAGCCATCTAACACAGAATGAAAGTATATGTTATTAAACAAACAGATATTTAAATATGAAACATGTTATAGTACTTTTAAATAAAACTATTTTAAAAATAAGAATAAAAACACAGATCATGCAAAACTGGTTCATAACAAAGCCTGTTATCAAACTGCATTGCAATCGACACAGGCTGGCCACACCTTCACCATCCTCTGACCAGAAGTCTTCCTATTTTCCCTCCTTATATATTTATAAAGAACTGATATTAATCCTCAAGGATCAGAAAAAAACAATATCTAATACAGTAGGTAATGGAGAATGATGAAAAAATTATAAATAATAATATACGAAAATTAAAATTATTGAACGGTAACCACATGTTTCCAAAGAAATTAAATGAAATTTCTTAATGAAATGTAACATTTAAAATTATAAATTATATGTATTAAAATTTGTAGGTTAGGACTAAACCTTAATGGTACTAATAAAACCACATATTTGATCACTATAGTTCTACTTTATTTGTTCTTTTACATCAAAGTTTCAGCCCTTGGGCCATTATCAAGAGAAGAAACCTATTTTAATAATTAAAAATCATTATGGACTGAATTGCCCTTGCCAACTACATTTTTGATTTTGAAAAAATTAATGAATGAAAATCTGAAGTTGACATGGGCAATTCAGTCTATAATGATTTTTAATTATTAAAACAAATTTCTTCCTTGATAATGGCCTAAGGGCTGAAACGTTGATGTAAAAAAACAAATAAAATAGGACTATAGTGATCAAATATGTGATTTTATTATTACTATTAAGGTGAAGTCCTAACCTACAAATTTGAATACATATAATTAATAATTTTAAAATTTACATTTTATTAAGAAATTTCATTTAATTTCTTTGGAAAGATGTGGTTACCGTTCAATAATTTTATTTTTCATAAATTATTATTTATAATTTTCCAGGTCATTTTAGACTGTTTTATATGTTTTAGTAGATCAGGATATTTGTAGACCAGAGACAGTCTCTATTTTTATTTTAAAAATTTACTTATTTCTAGAGAAGATTTCGGCGACCTGCACCATATTCATCTCTTATTTAAAAACCATAGTTTTTTGTTTGTTTGTTTTTTTCAGAGAAGAGAGCTCCCCACTGTCTGACACCATTTCACTGAAATGGAATTTGAGCATTTAGTGAAATGGTGTCAGACAGTGAGTAGCCCTCTTCTCTAAATAAACAACATATCAGACAAAGAACAAACTCTGTTTCAATCTACTATGGTTTTTAAATATTTTAAATAAGAGATGAATATGGTGCAGGTCGACGAAAGCTTCTCTATAAATAAAGTTAATTTTTAAAATAAAAATAGAGACTGTCACTGGTCTACAAATATCCTGATCTACTATTTATAATTTTTGAATCATTTTCAATTATCTTCTACGATTTTCTAAATTATTTATTGTTTTTTCTAATATACTCAGCTTTCCGATATATTATACGTATACTTGATGACACTGATAGACAGCATCTGACTAGGCTCTCCCTAGAGGAGTCCACTAAGGGATGATTTATAAAAATAAAAATTGACTATTCTTTTAAAAAAAATTAGATGGTAGAAGGATGAGATGGGATAATAAAGTGATCCCAAAATGTTATAAAGATAAAGACAATTTTTTTTGAGAGACTAAACTGTTACTTAACTTTATTTATATACCTTATATAAATAAACATCTCCCTTAAGACTTATGAACAAGATATTATTATTAAAAGTTTTTTTTTTTTTTGAGAGAGAGAATCAGTTACTGTTCCACGCAATCCTTAGATTGATTCTGGTATGTTGATTAAATTTAAATCAATTGACAAACTCAACATATTTGTTCAGCTGAACTGTTCTGAAACAGGCTATTCATGTGAAATAAAATATACTAATGATAGTTTCAGCCTTTGTCATAGATATATTGTAAATGAACTGAGCATAGTAACGACACACATGTTTTGGGTCTATCTATCAACTTCTTCATTTATTCCAAGCCAAAAATACCATGTTTGGACTATTCGTTTTCAAGAAGAATAATTCAACAAATCTGTAAGTACGATACTGACTGTTTAGATGAATAATTATATAAGGATGAGAAATAATAATTTCTGACATTTTGAACCATGCCTACGGGTGGGTCATCAGGACTAAAAATTAAAAAAAATTATATCAGAAATATAAGGTATTGACTGTAGTATATAATAAATAAGCGGAGATAAATAGATGGAAAACACATAAAATAAGAGTAAAGTTAATATGACACAAAACGAAAAAATAAATAAATAACTACATAATTAATACAAATAAATTAACTAAATGAATAGTACAAATAAATAAATAAAATAAGAAGTATGCATAAAACAACAGGACTAAGAATAAATGAGGTGAATTATTAAAATTAAAAAAATAATTGGAATAAGCAACATTATATTTTATTTATATATTTTTTTCTTTATATACTACTATGTTTATATTATTATCCTTTTTTTTATTTTTTATTACAACATAACATTTTATTTATCTTTTTTTTTTTTTCCTTAACAGACTATTACGTTTAAATTATCATTTTTTTTTTTTTTTACAATTATCTTATGTGCCTTTGTGAATAGCTTATATTTCTCATGTAATTGTTTTTCAATTTTTAGCCCCGATGATCCACATGATTTGGTTGAAACATTAACAAGGCTAATAAACCATAAGTAGACTGCAAGTTCTCACAAATTTAAAATAACAGCCAACAACACATTCATCTCTAAATGAATAATTTTAATTTATAAGTAAATTGTACTCACAGCGATCCTTTGCTTTTCACCACCAGATAAAACATCTATCCAATCGGCAATAGAATCCCACCCACCTTCCCTTTGAAGTAGATATGAAAGCTGAACTCTTTCAAGATGTTGTGTCAACAAATTATCGTCTTTACCTCGCCTACGCATTTCCTCTTTTGTGTGTGGGTATATAACCTGAAAACAAATTAGTTTAAAACCAAATGATTCCTGTGATACAAACTATTGGTATATTAAAAAAAAAAAAAGCAATAAAACTTCAAAATATTCATCAAGATTTGGTAGAAGTTTAATTTTAAAAACTGGCATGTATTAAAAAAGGGGATGGTTCATATTGTATTTAAAAATTCCTGTAATTTGAAATATTTAAACTAAATATATCAATCACAAAATAATATAGGGGACATACACATGAATTTCCAATTATCAATTTTACTGTCATTTTGGGAGATAGTGATTTAAACTAAAATAAAATAAAAATATAAAATGAGGGACAATAAAACATGCAGAGTTTTAATACTCATAGAGTATATTATTTGAAAATGGATGGGATTTTCTTGTTAATACTAACTTGACAATAGATCCAATAATACAAGGAGCCAGCGGGCTAACACGTGTGCACAGCACCGCGATATTGATTGATAACCGAAGTTGATAATCAGAATCATGAAATCTTGGATAATATGGATTTCTTTTAGTGGTCGAAAATTCAAAACTTCAAAATTCACAAGTTACACTGTACCTAATGCTTGCTGCACCTAGTTCAATTAATGAGGGATATTTGATCACGTATAATATTTTTTTCATAACACAGAAGGAGTCTAATTTCATCAGTTTGCTTTGATTTAGAGAGCTTTTCTCAAGAGAGCAAGAAATCTGTTTTGCTTATTGAGGTGCAAATGAAATAAAATGAATGAGCATTTACAATACTAACCAAATTATGAATTTACACACTGTGTTACAAAAACAAATGACATAGTTTTCATAATATCAGATATTAATTAATATATTAAATTATAAATATTTACCTGATCTCTCAAAGTGCCTAAACACATATAAGGCCGTTGTGGGATGTAAAACAACTTAGATTTAGGAGGCTTAGTTAAGGTTCCTCCAAATGTGGGCCAAAGCTAAAAAAACAAAGAACAATTAAGTTAAAGGATTTCCAGCATTTTACATTTTTTCGGTGATAGTTACACAGACAATTTATTTTATAAAAGAACTGCAAAAAGTAAAAATCAGCAAATTACAAAAAAAAAAAAAAGTTCTTAATCTTCAATGAAGTTAGAGTATTCTGTTTTTAAGAAAAGAAATGTCTAAACTTTGTAACAATCATAAGTACTCCTATCAAATTTAAAGGGATAACATTAATAAATTATATAATATGTTTTTATTCGGTTTCTATACAATTTATCCTATGAATAATTCTGATTCAGAAGCTACGATTTTAAAAAATTTCTGTTTTTCCAACCAGTAGATAATCTTTTTATAAGCAGTATTAAACAAATTATTTTACCTAAATAGCATGAAGATAAAATTACAAAATTCTTACATAGGATAAATGACTAAAGTTATTAATACATCAATACTAGTATTTTTTGGCAATAAAAGAGGAATTCACTTGAAACAGACAATTTTGTTTTGTTTGTTGTCAGAGCTGGAACTAGTTTTTTTACCAGGTAATGTAAATCAAAATATATATCACCATCAGGAATAACAACTTATGGCATTAATTGAACTAGGGAAAAAACATCTAAAATGTCAAAAGAACTATTTTTTTACTTCAGCTAAAAAAAAAGGCTCAAAATTTGCTGTTGCCTATGGCAAGTTCTCCCTTTACCTCACACTATTTATGACCCTGTTTATTTGGTGTTCCATTATTGGCCTTATAGCAACTTAGTGGCTTATTCACTATCTCTTGTTTAGGGAATGTCAAAGTCAGAACATCCAAAAATGAGATGACAAGATAAAAACAAAAATTTTTCATTAGCTTGAGGCTTCATTGAGAATTGGAAGATGTATTGAAACTTAAGAAATGCAAAAAGTTAACCAAATTCACAATTTTCAATCTGTTTCCATTTACAAAAGAGTAACAATAGGGTATGTTATCATATTATCATTGTGAATGTCGAAATGAAAAATTGATTTTAAAAAATTATAGAAATTCATAGAAGCAAATGAAAATTTAAGATAATCTAGTTATTGATTAATATAAAGAATTATCTATGCAAGTATGAATTAAAAATAAAAAGAATTGCAAATATATAGAGTGGATAGAATGATGTAACAGGCGACCACCAAGGAAATACGGTAGACCAGATCATTCTAAAACAAGTACTCCAAAAACGATGGGAAGTAGCTCAGGAAGTCAACGTCCTATTTGTCGATATCAAAGCAGACTATAATTCTTTGGACAGGAACTGTCTTTGGAAAATCATGACTGAACTGGGAGTTCCAGGTAACTTGGTGAGATTGACAAGGGGGTGCACAAATGAACCTAAATGTCGAGTCTTAATGCAAAGAGAAGTATCTGAAGCCTTCAAAGTTCGAACAGGTTTACGGCAGGGAGGTAGACTATCACCGATGTTGTTCAACTTAGCCCTAGAGAAGGTGATAAGAACAACATCATCCGAAAATGGAGGGGTCCATGTTGGAATGCAAATAATGAAATATTTGGATACGCAGATGATATAGCTATCCTTGGAAGTAATCAAGAGGACATTGAGAAACTCGCTAAGACTCTGATCAGAGATGCAGATCAAATCGGCCAACAAGTAAATGAAAACAAAACAAAATATACGATAATAAGAAAAAAATTCCACCAGAATATCAGGATCTGTATAGAAGGGAAATCGTTCCCTTCGAAGAGTAGAAAAATTCCAATACCTCAGCTCCACAATAACCTCAGTTAATGACCAACAGTCAGAAATAGACCACCAAATAACTAATGCAAACAGAGCTTTTTACTCCCTTTCAGAGGTATTAAAATCCCGAAAAACCTGAAATAAGGGTGTACAATACTATGATAAAGAATATAGGTCTCACAGCCAGTTCAAATATATGACTGTGAGCCCTGGACACTAAGCAGCACCCTAGAAAAAATTATTGAAAGATTTGAGAGGAAAATCCTCCACACGATAACCGGAGTGATCTGGGATCATAGTACTAACACATGGATAAGAAAGACCAATAAAGAACTGCTTACAGAAACTGGTCAATCAATATCCCATAAAATGAAGGCACGGAGGTCAAGATAGGTGGAGCATATATGTATAAATAGGGCATTGACGTCCTGAACTACTTCCCATCGGTTTTTGAGTAATTGTTTTAGAATGTAATAAAAGGCTCCCATGGAAGCCCAATATAATCCACAAAGATACAATAGAGCTTCCTGCAGATAACTGGGAAGAAATAGAACAAGAGAGGCAGAGATGAAGCAGGCTTGTTAAGGTGGCAAAAGATCTACAAGGTCTGTAATGCCAACATAAAAAAAAAAAGAAGATAGAATGATAATCATAAGGACTTCATAAGTCAGAACATCCATACTTATATATAAAAAGGAATTTAATAAACAAAAAAGATATTATAACTTACCTCTAATAAAATAAATTACCTAACACACAATATCACTCACCTCTCCTAGTACTCTAAACAAAGAACTCTTTCCACATCCATTAGGACCACATACTAGAACGTTCATACCAGATCGCACTTCAAAATTCAATTCCTTTACTAAAACATCACCGTTCGGAGTAACAAGAGGAACATGTTCGAATTTTATTATCTTATCTTGTACTACAATTTTACCAGCACCAGGAGCTAAACTTTCCATATCTGCAATAAAAAAATGAAATCTAATGATTAACTACAAATTCGTTTATTGAGCATTATAACATTATGTCACAATTATAGACAAATGCTATAATAAGAAAATTATAACATTCACTCCATATTTACTGAAAATATGGAGGTTCCATGTTAAAAAAACACAGATTATCCCATCAACATAGAAGAGGGACAACTTACTCCAATATTATTTCTAGCTTGCCAATGAAAAATTTATCTGCCAGGTTTCATAATCTGGGTCTTCTGCATATGTTTATTGTGATAATTTTATAAAAATGTTCTTAAATTTCTAGGGATACTATAAGTTAACTAAAAAAATTAGTTTGTATTATATGTTGATGGTTAATAAATGTGTGGTAAATTAACAAGGAGATGGTATGGTTGGTGGTTAGGAATAATATCAACATTTTTTTTTTCAAATAAAATTAAATATTAGGGGGATCGGAAAGTAATGTCATTTCTGAGCATGTCACCATTTGATTGTCATTTGGCAGCTCATTGTGTACATCTATATTGTGGCAAAGATATTCTAAGATTATAGTGACTTCTTTAGTTGCAAATAATTAAATTTAGAATTATTTTTTACAATTTTTGGTGAAATGGCAGGCCAAACATCAGAAGAGGTACATATCCGGCAGTGTATGCTTTTGAGTTTTGCAAGAGTAATAATGCAACAGTTGTAACTAAAAACATTTGCAATGTTTATCCAAATGAATTATACATTCATAAATGCCAAAGATGTTTTTTCAAGTTCAAATCCGGTAATTTATATGTTTCCGACTCGTATGGATCAGGAAGACCAACAGCATTAGATGATGAGGTGTTAAGCAGGAAATCGAAGAAAATTCGTGTCAGGCAATCGAGGAATTGTCAAACAATCTTAACCAACCTTGGTCGACCATCCAAGAGCATTTGCAGTAGATTGGGAAACCACAATATGCAACTTATTGCTTTAACGGCACAATATAGAAGCGCTTTTTGATAGCTTTATCACCGGAGATGAAAAATGTATGTTAATCCAAAATGCAAAAGGCAGTAACTCTTTCTAAAAAATCGCCATGAAGTACTGTTTAGCCATGTTTACATCCCTGAAAGGCCCTTTTTTGTGTTTGGTGGAGTATTCCCGGTGTTGCTCATTTTGAAGTCCTAAAACAAGGACAAACAGAGAATGCAGACCTTTATTGTGAACAATTGGATCGTGTAAATAAATCTTTAATTGAAAAGTGGCCAGCGATTGTCAAAAGAAAAGGCATTGTTCTGCAACACGAAAATGCAAGATCGCACTGCATAAGAGGAACCCTGCAAAAAATTAATGAATTGGGATAGGAGGTACTGCCTCATCCACCATACTCGCTCAAAGTTGCACCATCAGATTTCCATTTATTCGGATTGTTTCAACACTTTCTATGTGGCAAAGGATTTTCAAATTTTAAAGATGTCCAAAATGCCATCTCTACATATTTTGGTTAAAAACTAATCGATTCTGCATTTAAAATTTGTACACTAGATGGCAAAATGTTGATAATGAGGACGTTTCCATCAATGATTAAAAATAAAATATCGTGTGAAATTTCAGTTTTTGAATTAAATGAAAGGAAACGACATTACTTTCCGGTCTCCCTAATACAATATAATCAAATAAGATCACACTATCTGGTAATATGACTAGGGGTCTGCAAACTATGGCCTGCTAGTACTTCCAATCTGGCCCGCAAAAGGTTTTGTGATTACATGGTAAAAATTAAAAAAACTATTTAAAAAATATAAAATTTAGAAAATCACTCAAACACGAGGTTACTACGATATTCAATGTCTTAGCTGTTTCTTTTAGAATGCTCATATCACCACTAAAGTGTCATTTATAGAACAAAATTTTTTTTACCACAATATAAGGCCCATGGGATTTATTGGAGGTCTAAATGCTGCCTGTGGGAGTTGGTGGAGGTTTCAATGTGTCCCGGGGGACAAAAAGATTGGAAACCCCTGTTGTAGACCCCTACTCGGACTATTTGATTTTCAATTCTTTTTATTCATCTATTTTGTAAAAAAAATAATAGTTTGAAGATAGTATAATAAAGTACATACCTTTTGTGATCATAGTTCTTTGATAAGTACCAGAATTAATATCGGCAATTACTGTTGTCAACTGAGTCACCCTAGCTGTTAAACCGGCTAGCCTATTCAGATCCCTTAAAGCCAATACCATTCTCCCTATAGCTTCAGCCAACTTGAGCATCATTCTGCCCATAGTATAATATTCCTGTAAGAATGATTAGAAACAAAAATGGAAAACATGTATCAGCATCAAGCTTTAAGTATCTTAAAAACTTGAGAAAAAACTTACCATAAATCTGAAATCTTTGGACTTATTAGAAAGAAGAGGATGCTTGTCATTCATAAAGGGAATACTAACAGCAAAAAATCCAACTACTGTTCCAAAATCTGAAACAAAAGAATAAAAGATGAGATAACAAATTTATAACAGTACATTTAATAATAATTTGAGGTTATGATGGACGGAGCATTTTATCTACATTTATGAACAAATAATTACTCAGAGTCTTGATTATATACTGTTAGTCATTTAGCTTGATTTTCCTGTTTCCCATTTTCAGGCAATTACTATTTAATTAACCAAGCAAACAAGTCAACGCGGCATTTATTTATTTATATGCCTTCGGAAAAACATTATACCTACTATTTATTTTAGATAAACACCATTCCCATTAGAGATATTACAGCTCAAATAAAATAAAATAACTGGAAAAATAAGATTTTATGAAATGTTGTGTAACATCATAAATAATAAAATAAAATAAAATAAGAACGTCAAAATCGTAAGAAACCGTGGACATATTCACTAGGAATGATATTCATTCATGTTGACCTGCTATTGGACTGCTACTCACGACACAAGATTTTAGTGGTTAATAGAACTTCTTATAGTACTATTAACTTTTTCTTGTTTGAGCGTTAATTAACTTTAACATTCTCGAGTCTAGCGTTAGTCTGGGCTGGTTGAGATCTATTTCTCAGCGGACCCACAGTATGAATCTCAACTCTCCCATTCTGGTTAGAATTATATTATATCTTTTATCATGCCTCCAAAACAACCCCAGCCCGTACACCAGAAATACCAAGGTAGGGATAAAATAAAAAAAAAGAACAATTTTTCATTCCAGTAAATTTAGCATTTGAAAAAAAATGTTTGTCTTTGATTATAAATATCATAATTTCATATTCAGAATAATAAAACAACTGAATAACCAATAAAAATAAATACTTTACAGGAATATGTTATGAAGGATATTATATTTATATTTCTTTTGAGCTAGATTATTTTTAGAGAGAGAAACACTTTATTATCATAAAAGGGTGCTGCCCAATTACAATCTAATATACAAGTATATTGGATAAACAATATGTATGAGCATAGTATACAATATTTTTTTTATATATATGTGTATTATTATTATTATTATTTTTTTTTTACGATTTATTTCATTCACTTATTAGCATTCTATATTCCTTTCTCTTCCTTCTCTCCCCTCATACATTTTTCCTACTGCTCATATTCCCTCCTCTCTCTTCCTGGCCTAATTCATAAAATGCATACAAATACATAAAGTACAGTGGACGAGAACAATAAATAATATAAAAATGCTGTAACACATACATGCCTCCCCACAAACTCTCTCCCTATCAGTTCCCATGCACATGTGGTGGATGATTCCCAGGGAGTCGAGGATTATATTCTCTGCCAATCTTGCCAAGTCCTTCCATAAAGCTCCTTGTTGACCTTGGTTTCGTTCTGCTAGCTCCGAACCAAAGGCCTTTCACGTGGAACTCTCTCGGCCCTAAGGAAAGGGATACATTTCACATACGTCTGTTTTTTCTTCCTTTCCACTTTTCACTCCCTGATCAAGGTCATTGGTCTCATATCTCACGGTTGGATCCAAAATCATCGCCGATTTTCCCGTCTCAGGGAATGCTACAATGTCAGCATATAGGGTGGATCCATCCGTATCTATACAATATACTTACTCGAAACAGGCATAATCTCTCTCTTTAAAGAGCCTCATCAGTTCATGTTTGACTCTGTGGTGACAACGTGTTATAAGGAGGGAGTTGTTGGGGCATTTTCCAAGCATATGTACTGGTGTTTCTGGCTCTCTGTTGCATTTGTGACAGAGGGACCCAACTTCTCTGACCTGTCCGCTGACATCTGGGACTCCACGCAGGAGTGCATAATTAATATTTAGTTTCAGGGCATTTGACCATTCAGACCCAGAAAGTACTAGCTTATTGTATATGTATTTATTGGCTTTTGGGGTCTCTTTAAAATGGTGAAATCCAATGCCCTGCCACCTACAATTGGTCCATTCCTCAAATGAATTTTCTCGAAGCGACTGCAGTAGAGCTCTCATATTCCGAATACCCCGATCAACCCCCAATCTCTCGGCACATTCATCAACCTCAGCCGAATAATCAAAGATTGACTGAAAAAGGGCATCGGGCACATTGGACAGTCGCTGAGCAATGGACCAATGTTGTAGAGGAGCCTCCAATATTGGGAGCGGATTAATTCTAATCCTCGATACCTCCTGGGAGCATATAACATCGCCGTGGAAGTGTTCGCAGGAAGTAGCTTTGTGAAGGCCGCAGTTTGGAGAGGGTAAGTAAGACCCGGGAACAGATATTGATTGACAATGATTAGCTTCTGCTCCATTTTAAGTAAGGAAGAGGTTACGAGTTTATTAAGATTTTCGTTCAATTTGGTCAGCGAATCTTCATTGAACAGTAGCTCTCCCGAGAATGTACATCCTAAATACTAGATTGTATCTCCATTCTGCAATGTTTGGATGTACTCTTCATTCTCAAGAGAGAGCATAGCTCTCTTTTATTTAGAACGATGCCCATGCTTTTTTGAGGATTTATGGCCAAAACAATTTCCTCAAACATCCGCTGTACGCTGCCGATTACTCTTTCTGCAGCCCCCTTGTTACGCGCCGACACGTCCTGGTCATCCGCGAAACCTGTGGAGACCACACAACCTTGGTCACTTTTTAACTTATATCCAAATTAACAAAGTTACTTATAAATTGAAACAGACTTATTTCTAACTTGTTTTAAGTCATATTAATAAAAAAATATGAATTCTGTTACTGCTTCAATCCAACTATCTTCATTTAGCAATGAATCAAAGTGTGTCGCCCATTTGGATAGTACATTATCCTGATATGTTATCAAGGAACTGTCCTAATTTCTACACACTGTTATACGAACTTTGAACAGACCTTTACTCTTATTAATGAAGTTTAAAACATTTTGAAATCATTCAAGCTCCTATATTACTATATCTTTTCAACTAGTTGAAGTAGGTTCATTGAGGAGGTCAAGATCAACATTGGACTGCTATACAATTAAAAGTAAAAATTTAAAAAGTAATTATTATTTTATTAATAAAGCTGGAGAAACTGAACACATTTAAAATATGAGTAACCTATCGGAATCAAGTGGAAATTAGAGCAAACTAATCATAAAATACTTGTTTGGGAACACTTGCAATCTAATACAGTTCGATATAAGTTGTTAATTTTTTCATGACTTCTATTTCAGTATTTATTGGAACATTAATACGATAAGTAAAGGTTAATTAGGATCCACGATCAATTTATGCATAATATAATAGAAGAAGAATAGGGAATCTAATCTTTCAGATATTGTTTTATTATTATTTTTATCAAATATTGTTGGTTTTTATGTTATCATCATTACTTAGGAATTAAATTTATTCATGATGTTTTACCCCTATCATGATTTTATATATATATATATATATATATACACATATCTTTCTCATAATTTTTTTCTTATGTATTTTATTATTTATTTCAATCTTCATGCCTAGGAACAGTTTTTTCATTTTAATAATTATTCTTTGGATAAAAAATATACATTAATCATTAAATCATCATCATTAATTTTTTAAATAGCGGAATAATGAATAATTTATTCAAAACAGTTCTCCCTCTTCTTTAATCTCAATGTCACAGCAAAACCTCAAGTCTGCTGGATGTAACTCCAGAGCTGCTATCTTTCAATTTACTTGACAATTTATATTCAGTTTACTTTCTATCTATATTTATATTTGTTTTGAAATTCGACAATTCAATAGGCAGATGTTTACTAAGATATTTTTTTATTTTTCATGAGTTGTTAAACCTTTCAGGAGAGTTAATCTTCTGCAGGAATTCATCAAGTCATTTCTAAAACTCAGCATAAATCACTGCTGAATTCAATTGCTCATGATGGATGCTGATTTTAGGAACTTGCCCATTCACAGCACTTAGTTATATCATTTTACAGTGCAGAACAGAATCTAGTTATATAATTTTACGATACAGTACAGAATAATAAGAATGGAGAAACTAATAAAAAGACTATCACATTATATATAAATAAACAACAGTACTGAAATATCTCTTAAGGAGGACAGTGAGGTTGAAGCTGATAGGCTGAAACTGCTTTATGTTTATCAATAATTTTCTTGATATTGGTCATTAATTTTGATCAAAGATAAAAAAAAAAAAAAAATGATTATTTGTTAACCTAGTAACTATTTTTGAGAAAGAAATTCTGGTATCAAAAATGGAAATTCTCTAGTTGAATGTCATTACTACAAAAATTAAAAAAAAAATAATAAATTGAGAAGGTAACCATGCACCAAGTCCTCCACCCCTGGATCATTATCTAAAAGCTGATTTCATTATGATTAATTTAAGAGGTTCAAACATGTAGAAGGGCAAAATGTTGTACACTTAAACATCTTCTAGAAGAAACCTTCCAATACTCAAAATGTAATCACAATCTGTGGCCTGAATATGTGAACAATCATTCCCTTGATTGCCACTGACGAGGAATAAAACAAGAATCCTAATAAATTGACAAGACTTTTTGGTATTCAAGATTCACTACTAATAAAGAAAATTGAGCAGAATGTGAGTGCTTGACTTATCACATCCATCATAAAAAGTTATTGACTAGTAAAAAAAACATTTGAGCATAAGTGAACAATAATACCCTTGACTGCCATATCATTAATAAAAGTAGAGCTAATCCAGATTCACTCATTTGATCAAATAATTATCAATTGTGCAACGCAATACCTCCTTTTTATTAATCATTTTGGTACCTCTGGACTCTAAAACTATTCATATCTTAACAGCTGCATTAATACCGCATCACATTTATATTTGATCCATCCAATTACAATGAAATTTGAATAATAACTTACATTTTCCCAATATATTTTCAATAAGTCCCATCAACACTTTGAATTCCAAGAATTTCCTCATATGGTTATTCTAAAACAAACAAAACATGAATGTATATGGAGATAACATAATGATAATAGTTATAAATAATTAATAACTGCCATGAAACAATTGTATAATTACAGTAAATAAACAAATCTAACTTGTTTTAAGAAATGAGTTCCAAAAGCTCGAAATTTTTGTATTCTCTATCTACATATGAAGAAACTCTATGTTTTCTGTGGAGAAGTAAGTAAACTGTATGAGTCTGTAAATAACAAACTTCAAAACAGAGTTCAAATACAAGTAGTTTGAACAATGACCAGAGTCCCTAAATACTATTATATTGCTTTTATAAAAAGTAAGAACCATATTTAAATCTTAACAGTGTGAAATTCACTAGTAACGTAGATCCTTACTTTTATTATTCATTATATGAATCAGAGATCAATACCCATACACTGGGTTACTTAGTAATTAGCACTTAATAAGGAAGTACTGTTTAATTAATTAACTAAGCCCACTTTATAGAGGCTGAGTGTGCTCCAGGAGGGATCCCCGAACCGAGGATAAATCCACAACTGATGAAGCAGAACAAATAATTATCTGCATCAACCGTAATCAAACGTGGGTCCTTGAGAATAGGAACACAGCACCTTATTCACCAGCCAACCCTACTTAAACACTAAATAAAATATACTAAATAGTTTTATAAATACAATGTAAAATTCCATTGTAAAAAATTGATTGAGTATAAAATATGAGTTTTTATGGTGCAATGAAATTAAATCAATAGGAATGTCTTAATTTAAAATCTCACTATTAGATAATATATTTCATTTCATATATTTTAATTTATAAATCCATAAAAATTACCAATTTATGAAATGCAGTAAGAAGCGTAAGCTTTTCCTTGTTGTTTCCAGAATAGAATGCAATTTCTTCGGAATGTGTAATGAGACGAGAATTAATATAACGATATTCACCCTCTAGCTTCTGTTCTTGAACTGTCAATCTTCCAGCTGGTCTTCGAAGGTATGTCAACAAACTTCCTCCAAAAAATAAATAAAGAAGGAGAAGTCCAGGAGTCTAAGCAATGAACAAGAAAAATTAATATAAATAATTAGTTGGGCAAAACATTTTTAGCCCTTTAATTATAAAGGACTTATTAAGAAAAATAATTAAGTATAACAAACTCAAGTGTCTATCAAATACTCTTCTTTTTAACCTCATCCTACGATAAAATTACTTAATCCTACTAACATAGGTTATAAAAAAAAAAAACTCTTTAGCAGTACAAAAGATATAAGGATGAAATAGTTTGATTCCAGCCCATAATCTATAAATGTTTTAATATAAATCCTTATCTGTTTAGATAAAAAAAAAAAAAATGCCCAACTAATAAAAATGATGGACTATATTCTCTCTAAGAAATGCTAGTTTAACAGCTTCACCTATAAATCTATCAATAACTTGTCTCTTCCATCCCCTCCTCCCACCACCCATCTGCATCTATTTCTTTTTTGCCATGATCTGTCACCAAGGATGGCGACACAGACCAGCAGAGTGAACACTTAAATTAAAACAATAGAATTTTCAGGAAAAATGGAGCTAGCTATCCCTGCATGTTAAGATACACCCCATGTATGAGCTTATGACAAGTGTGGTGACATCTCAAATAGTAAGAGGCCTTTCCTATAGTTGTCCCAAGAAATAAACTTATTTTGTATGATTTATTTTATACTTAAAACATAATAACTCAGCAATAGAATAATATTTCATAAAGTGCAATGAATAAAAATATCTTACCTGTCCACCTAAGTTTGTCGCTAAACGATAAACATAAATAAATATGTCTAACAGAGGTTTGCAGATATTAGAGTACATGCTGGTAATCATGTCACAGAATTTATCAACATCTGTCGTTAGAAGTTGGTCAGCATTAGCAATTCGTGTGTCCAAATTCGACATTTTATAAAATGTGAATCCCCTAAAAAATATATTATAAATTAAGACATGTATATTATTTACATTACATAATATATTATGTAAGATATATACGGATGCCATATTAGGTTTTACTTAAGAAAACTGAAATAAAAATATAAAAGTGAAGAGGTGGTACACAGATTCCATGGCACAGTAAAATTACTTTTCTTTCATAACCAAAAATTATACAAGAGATTAAGTTATTACTTCTCAAAATACCATTTATTTTCATCACAAATAGTGAAAAATAAATTTGATATTGATTTATAAATTTCTTTTATATAATTAATCTAAATTTTAAAAACATTGTGACATATTGTTATCAATGTTTTTGTATTAAACATTTATAAGAATTTGTATCTATATCATTTATCATCAATCATATATATCGTTTATCAGCAATCTTTCAGAATGAATACTCATAAATGGTCAATATAAAAACATTGATAACAGTATGACACAACGTTTCTAAGATTTAGATTAATTATATTTTTAAAAAATGTATAAATCAATATCAAATTGATTTCTCACAGAGCATTAAAGTTCATAGAAGAATAAGTAAAAAAGTAATAATTTTTATTAATATATATCATTGTGAAATAATAAACATATTATTAGTAATGATGTTCAATAAAATAAAATATTAGAATTCATAAACACAGTATATTTCTTGACATGACAGCATATGGTCCGATTCTGTAGTCAGAAGTATTATGACAATGCATGATTAAATTTATAAATGTGAATCTAAACGTAAAACTTATAATTATTAATTATATCAAATTTAAGAATTACAATCTAATGAGTACTATTTCCTAATATGAAACAGTATACATTACATTACTACAATAGTTTAAAATATTTGTAATTATGGGTTGATGGTTGACGGTAGTGAATAATTTAATAGAAGAATGGTTGGGGTGATCAGTAAAAAAAAGTGTAAAAATAAATACTAATATTTATTTTTATTGAATAAGTATACTATTAAAAATAACTATATTTATTTTTATTGAATAACTTTATTATTAAAAATAAATATATTTATTTCTATTGAATAAGTATATTTCTTTCTACTGGAACATGGGCGCTTACATTAAAGGATGAGCAATCTTAAGGTTTTTGAAAATAAAGTACTGCGTAGAATATTCGGACCAAAGAAGGATGAGTTAACCAGAGAGTTTAGACGGTTATACTTGCGTGAACTTTATCCGGTTAATATAATTGAGGTGATTACATCAAGGCGAATCAAATGGGCTTATAAAATTGTTGGGCTTAGAAACGAAAGAATCTCTAAAAGGTTAATATCTGCTGTACCGAATAGTAAATGTCCGAGGGATAGACCGAAGTGAAGGTGGAAAGATTGTGTTGAAGCCGATCTGAAGGAGCTGGGTTTGGACGGTGAACGGTGGAGAGAGGTGTGTAATAAGTGATTAGATCTAACCTTCAAGTTCGCTATGCCTTTTATTATTGTTATTCTTATTTTTGCCGATGTTTCGGTTATTAGAGCTAAGAAAAAAACAGATGCACAAGTATGAGGAACTATTAACATTAAAAAATGTACACATAATAAACTTAAAGGATATATAAAATAATGATAACAAAGTTAGGGGTAGTAAATAGCCGAAGCAAAGTTAGGATATATAACATAACAGAAAAAAAGTTAGGAAAATATGAATAAAATAATAACAGTAACAGAGAACTATGAAATAAATAATAACGGCAACAAAGTACAGACTAATGAAATAAACATAATCAAAATAAGGTAACATAAGAAATGAAAAATGAATTAACAACAAAATGTATGTGATAAAAAATGTAAGTGTAGACAAAAAATAAATGAGGTGACATAGTGACCGGGTATGTCTATCTCTTTTATCTTAGTTTTCTCCTCTTTTTCTTTCTTCCCGTTACTTCCTTTTCCATATCTCCACCTCTATTTTGTGTATATTGATACATTTGCTCATTACATCTTATTTACATTATTTTTATTTTTTATTCTCTTATACATAGTCAGTATTTTTACAGTATCTCAATTTTTAATATGTTTTTTACATTCCATTCCATTTCGTTGTTAATTCATAATTTCCTAACTTTGCTTCCGCTGCTTTCTACCTCTAAATTTGTTATAGTTATTTTATATTTCCTTTAAGTTTGTTCTATCTACTTTATTTTATTCTAAGTTTATTCTACCTACATTTTTTAGAATATTTTTTAATGTTAATAGTTTCTAAAACCTGTTGTTATCTGTTTTTTTCTTAACCCTGAACTTTGGGCTGAAACATCACCAAAAATAATAATACATATACTTATTTATTTTTACACTTTTTTTTTTTACTGATCAAGCCAACCATTGTTCTCTATGAATGTTTGTAGTTTTGTTTTTATTTGACTGGCTTCCAATAGCTAATTTACATTTGAAATCTTGGGTTTGATAACATTACTACTAACAAGCACCACTCATCGAAAAGTTAGCATAAAATAATTCTAGAAATAGTTTAGATTAGCCAATGGGAAAAACTTTGAATACAACATGAAATATGATATCACATGTTTTTAGTTGGTCCACCAAGATGTTTAGGTCTGATTCTGGATACTTCCAATACACACAAGAGTGGAATCAGGAGGAATGGAATAAAAATGTTTACCAAGTTCCATCCAAATTAACAAACTAATTCAAAAGAGCAGATTTTAAGGTGGTTAACAAACTTACTCTAGCATGGGCTGATAAGGAAGTAACTAAATATGAGACCATCAAAAATAATGATTGTTATGTAATTAAATATTGCTTATATATATTTAAACATGCACAGTGAACTAATAAATTAAATAATACATAAAATCATAGCTTACTTTAAATACTCATCATACAAATAATGAGTAATTCTGGTCCTTAATCTAAGCTTTAATTCACCAAGTCCCCACTGAAAAAAAAATTTGTTTTTCTCATAAATTTATAAAGAAGAAATGCAATAAAAATCTTATGATCTAATAATAATTAAATAAATAGTTTTAATTAATATCAATGCTCTTGACTTCTACACATTTAAAAGAACATGTCTAATGAACAAAATAACATAGTCTCCACTTCATAGAGCTAGTGTAAAATCAGAGAACAAGAAGTAAAGATCACCTACAGTTCATTAAAAACTGTATCAGAAAAAAGGTCCAATGTCAAAAAGTTTCAATTTAAATTATGCCTAACATTTAAAAAATTATAAATCTCATATCTTTATAAATAACGTAGGTTCATGTGATTTAACTGGTCTGGTAAAATTAAGCATTTCTTGAAAGAAAAATGGGCTTTGTCAGGGTGGAGAAACCATTGCTTAAAAGATGCTTTATTGACCCACACAATATTAAAAAGATTGAAGTTATGTCAGTCGATAAATCTCTTGCTTAGCCTACAGGATTCATAAATAAAGACAAGGTCTATGGTCTATAGCACGACTGAATCATCATCATTATTTTTAAATTATAAACATTTTAAAATACTTTCATTATTTACAATATAAAAAACTTTAATTGAAGAAATCAATTGATTAATGTATTTATTTGATAATTTATGTTTGATGATAAAATACTATGAAAAATTTACTGCCATAAAAGTATAAAAGGCAGATGTTTGTAATGAAAAATGGATACAATTATTTTATTATATATGTTTTTTAAGGTTTTAGATAGGTGTGTATACCGTGCATATAATATTATTTACAATAACAATACATACAAATATGAGGTGACTAATAAAAATTTTAATAGAATGTAAATATTAACAAAGTAAATTCTTCCAAAATGTGTAAAGTTCTTGATTGTAAAATTGATTTATTTATTTATTACTTTTTTTTTTTTTTTTTTTTTTTGGCGTGATAAGGACCATTAATGGACCTAAAACTTAAAATAAATACATAAGAGAATACAGTGTGGGATTTATAAAGACTCTTAATTTTATTTTTGATTAAGTAAAAAGAAACAAAAAGTGTCTATATCCAAAGCATTGCTGAAAATATTAATTCTTTATTAGTCATTCAAGGAAAAATAATCATATCTGTATTGAAATTTAAGTATTTCTTATTGATCTAAATTTCAGTTAACCAACCTAAATAATCCAATATTCTATAAGAACTGAAAACAATGCTGCATACAATAATTAAAACACATAAAAAATACCAAACAATTGAATGCCATATAAGTATAAAAAAAAACATAATTATTTATCTTTTAACTGCAATTAGAGCATTTGAAATACACCTCATGACTCTTTTCTCTTAATAATTGTAAATGTTCAAAAATGGAATGAAATATTACTGAATAAATAGGAAATCTTAATTACTGCTTTTTAGTAATCATGAGTATGCATTTTCCAAATAATGAAGAATTGAACATTTATTTTTATAAATTAATATCACTTAAACAAATTTAGTGAAAAATTAATAACAAACATTATAACATTAAGTCATTTATAAATAATGTAATAAAAATAATAATGTGGCTAGTTATTTATAATATTATAACTAAATATTTTAAGATTTTTTTTTATAAATAATAGGTAATTAATAAAAGTAATTTCTTTATATAATGTAGATATAGTCAGAATTATAGATTCATAGATTATAATATATTATGAATTTTTAAGATCCAATAGGCTTATTTAAAAAGATTATTCACAAGTGACTGTGCAATATGCAAAAAAGAAAAGGAAATTAGCTCATCAAAATGAAAAGTTAAAACTTACTTTAAGTATATTGTTGACTAAAGCAATCTGAAACATAGAAAAGAATTATACATTTATATTTAAAAATGAAAGGGGATAGGAAAAAAATAATATATATGGCCTATTTAACTTTGTATATACACATAAAACTATTATAAATAAATATATATATATCCATAGGCACATGCATGCATATTTTAATTTTCAATAGAACTCACCATAGGCATAGCAGCAAAAAACTTAAATAAGTTGAATCTGAACCCCATTTTATCCATGGTCACAATCGTACTGTAAAAAAATAAAAAATAGCAATAATTCACTACTCAATTTTAAAAGCTATAAGAGATCACTGAGGACAGTCGTATAAATATAATATGTATAACAAATATAATATTACCCTTCAATAACAGTTGCATGTCTGATCATCCAGATGTCACATAGAGTTCTTGCTACAAGCGATGCAGCCACCAAAGCCATAAAACCAGCTTCGGGACTTAGCCATCCAGGTACACCAATACGCAAAAGAAACCTAAGCTGGCGCATAAAGTTAGCATCCACATATGCCTTCACTTTGATTGGAGTTTTCTAAATTTCAATTACATAAGAATATGAGGTTCTCAAAAAAAAAATCAAAACATTCTAATTATTAAATAATTTCATTGTAAAAACATTAAATTAAATTGTTCAAGTAAATTTCATAACTAATGATAAAGCAAATTTAAGTGATAACCATTTCAAAAATATAATTAAATAAGAAGAGTTTTCATTATCAATTTACCAGTATGAAAAAAACAAAAACAACTATAGCAAAATTTATTGTTATAGAGATTTATATCAAATAAAAATTCCCATAGAATTAATAATGTTTTTAAAGAATAGTTAATTGTTTACAAAGTGAATTTCAATATGACTTTAAAACTTTCCATTAAAAAAAATTAATAAATTATATTTCCAATATTAAAACAGGAAAAATAAGAAAATGGGAATATTCCAAAATTGGTGTAAATAAGATTAACAAGTTCTTAATTGTAGAACATTAAACCAAATCACAATAGCCTACATTTGAAAATAAATAAAATATTTTTTTAAATAAAAATTTAAGTAAAATAATTTACCTCTCCAATTACATATTCAACTTCAGGTTGAAGAATTTTCCTTAAAACAACAAACAAAACAAATATCATACACATAATAATTACAAATAATGAAGTAAAAAATTAAATATTGGCTGAAATAAAGGTAATCAAAATTTGACACCTGTTTTGTTGAAAATATTCCTACTTTGACAACTAACATTAAGGATTTCAAACATAATCAGGCATGGTGTGTTAAAGAAAAAGTAGTGAATAAACCATACCTAATTGTTTGTCATTCAATAAATTCATTCTCGCTTGTATGGCAGTAAACTTAAAAAATTGTATGTTATATGCTCAATGAAATATTATTAATAACTAGTCATATATTAGGTATATTACTACCTAGTTTAGTATAATTTAAAATTACATCTCTTAATTTAATGTACAAAATCAACATACAAGATAATTACCTGGCTGGCTGTCTTGGTTTTTTACTCTTCTTAAAACGATTTTTTAATACATATAAAATAATGGGAATAGCTACAGCACCAGCAACATTCTGTCTTGTCACATATTTACTAAAATTTGCCATGATTATGATTAAATGAGGGATAATAAGTAAAATATCACAGATAGAAATCACAATCAACAAAATTACATCCCTCCTTAATTGTTAGAGCACAACTGAACGGCCCATTTAAATTACTCATCTCACAATCTTATAACCTTCCTTAACTTCGAATAACCTTGAGGTGATTTGATGAAATCTCCCACCCCATTTCTAATTTCAAGAAAATTACTACATTGTTGATTCTGTTGATCTATTTGTTAAGAAAAGTGTAGAGTAACATAGACTTGTATTAACTTGTATAATAATATGTTTAAATGAAACATATATGTGTTTAGAAATATATTTTTAATGAAATAGGCTTTATTTATTCCCTCCATCCTTTATCATTTAGTTTAGGAACTTCGATAAGGCGAAATCATTATATCAAATCATTTTCTATTCAGATATTAGTTATTTCTTTTCATTTTATTAATATTATTTGGTTTTATTCAATTTAAAATTGCAGCGGGATCCTAAAAAGGTCTAAGTTCTAACGTCATGTTAAGGATGTCTAATGAAAGGTGGTTTGCTATTTTCTAAAAAAAAAATAATAATGATAAAATGTATAAATGTTTAACTGATCTGTTTAGTTACAAAACAGTTATAATATTTAAGCCTGATTTAATATTATATTATTTAATACACCAGGCTTTGGGGTGATGTAGGGTGTTTTGGTAATAAGGTGTTTGGGTTGTAGTAGAGGTACTGCTAGCACTTATCGGAAATTCATGCAGTTTTGTTATTTCCTCTTTGTACGATTTCGGAATCGATTTGTGGCATAGTATGCTCACTTACGTTCAGTTGCTAGTTCATTAGTGTTGATACACCTGGGGTGGTTAATGATGTTTAATAAAACATTCTGGCGGTAAAACTGGTATTAAATATACCATAAGATACTTAATATGAGCCAAAATTTAGATTTTTCTGGAGCTCGTGGAGAAATGCCTGGTATTTCTAATGAACCAGGAAAGAAGAGATGTATTGATGATATTATTGAGCATATGACAGCTGATCTACAGAGCTATGAAGGACAATATATTCTTTTGGGATCACCACCTGCTTCAGGACCTACAGTTTGGACTCCTCCACAACCACAAGGGGTATATTATCAGCCTGTTAGAGATAACAATGAGATGATGATGATGGATGTTGGTGGTGGGAAATATGTCAATCTTGTTTTTAAACCTGGAACTCAGGAATATAACCAACCCCCTATGAGTTTTATTCATTATCAACAACCACAGAATTTGGTGCAGCCACATATCATCGACTATTCTCAAAGGTATATTCTGTCGACTACTTAAGTTTGAACATAATCTAATTTTACTTTTAACTGAAATGTTGCACGTTTTTTGTGGGTGTCTAATGTTAATTGTAGATGGTTGAACAACCCGGAAGCATAATGCATGATAAGAGATAGCCACTACTAGATTACTCATGTTTTTGTTATTGTTTAACCTGTGAAATCTGAAGTATATTAACATTCTACTTTCGTCAGGTCATTTTATCTGTCATGTTGGTGTTGCCTTGCAGACTTCTCTTCACTCAGTCCTCCCACTCATCAAAATAAATTTGTTCTAAAAACTATCAAATTTAATTTGATATTACTTCAGTTTTTTTCATCCTGTTAATAAACATATTGAATAAATTATTACTTAGGTGGCTTTCGAGTTAAAACTGTTATCTATAGGTTTCGATAATTCAATATCTCTTTTTTCCAAAATTAATGTGCTTGATATAAACTTTATATCTAAACTATTAAATATTTTCTAAACTCTGGTGAATATTAATCATAATTCAGATTTCTGGTAATTATATTATTTTTTCTATAACAAATTCATTAGATTGCTTTGAATCGTTGCTATCAATAAAGAAATAGTTGACTGTAGATAATATGATTGGGAAGGAAGTTGAGGGTTGTACTCAATGAGAAAACAAAAGTTTTATGTATAGCAATGATTATTTCAGATATATTATCGAATAAAAACTGATTAAAAGATAGTAAAGCACTTTCTGTTTAAATTTATTCGGTCCATAGAAAATTATATTGAGTTTTTAATCAAATTTTGTTACCCTTCTGATGAGTGACTGATTAAGTGGAAAGTGAAGGGAAAATATAAATAAATTTTTCATTTGATTCAATTAATTGTTTTTCTGTTATAAAATCAATATAAATCAATAAGTGCTTTAGACTTTTGTTCTGAGTTCTCATAATTTAAATTGATACATTATAGGTAGACTGTCTTTTTAATTTGTTAATAAGAATATTAAAGTATTATTTAAAAAAATTGTAATTCTGCATAGCAATAACATAATGTGTGTGAAAGGAATTTTCATGTTGAAATTTCTGATGATATTCTGCAAATAGTTAACTACTCACACTCAAAAAATGATACCTTTATGTTTCTTTTATTCAGGGATCAAGGAGAAACTTTAAAACATATGAGGCAAAATCAAATATTAAAAACTATACAATTATTACATACTTGTATATACCAATCATGGTATCTAATTAATAAATTATAAGTTGTGTTTAATGATGTTAAACTGTGGTTTATAAGACTCTTGAACATTATAAAATAAAGTTTTTGTGAGATTATTATAATGATAATAATTGATTAACTTAAATTAATATTAAATTTATAGTTGGTATAATTTGATTACAAAAGTATTATTTTTATTAAGCTATTAAAGGATTAGTTGTTTACAGTCCCCTTGTTATTGTTTTGCTTATTTTACTGGTTAAAAGATCTATATAATGTATAGTTAATTGATGTTTTCTTTTATTTTATTTTATTTAGTATTTGAAACTTTGTTAGCATGCGTAAAATTTTCTCTGCTTCTGTTGAATGTTTCTTGACATGGAAAAGTAATTTTGCAGCATGACTACACCGAAATTGGTCACACACAGCGGAAGCGGTCAAAGACACTATTTCTACACTTGGCTGGGAACTCTTACCCCACTCTCCGTATCTGCCAGACTTGCCTCCTTCTGGCTACAACTTGTTTTCATTTATGTCTGACACACTCTCCATTAAAAATATCAACTATTATGGAAAATGTGATTGAAAACTAGTGATGCTTAATGCTTATTTGTATAAACCATTTTTTATTTTTCTTCTAATTAATACTTTAGTTTTCAAAGAAAAAAACTAAGAATTATTAACTACCACACCTGTTATATTATTTGCATGCATATTATAGGATTTTAAGACTCATTCTGACTTTTACACCTTTATTATTATATATACGCGATGTTCTTATAATCTCCAGAACTTAGTTGAATTGCATTGACGAATAAAATAAATAACTTTTATAAGCAACCTTCTGCTTATTCATTATTTAATTACAATATTTAATCAATACAGCATTACGATTAATGTTATTTACAATAAAGACCTCATTAAACCCGAATCTTTATTTCATTATTAAAAAATCGGTCTAACAAGAAATTTCACTACATAAAGTTTTGGCTTTATTAGCCATTTTCAAACAGTTGAAAAACAAAACAAAAACAATAGTCATACAATAAAACTTTTTGAAATAAAATTTATAGATAGTAGTACATTATGATAGTTGTTTAATTGAAAATATAATTTTCTTTTTGTATTTTTATTTTTTCTCTATTTACAATTTCTTTGGCATTTCTATTAAGTCTAAGCTACAGCCTATTACAGGGCTAATTCATGAAAAATAATAAAGTTCTAGAAAGTAATTAAAAATAAGATGTTTTTTATTTTTTTTATTTGAGTTCTTGTTCTGTTTACATATTTTTTCTTTGTAGACAATTTCTACATCTTCAAAATCAAATCTAGGGCCTTTTTCAAACCCATGTTGTACCAATGCAGTTTTATTTCTGTTTTTTAAAATATATTTTTGATTATTTTTGTTTTAGTAATAATTTTAATATTGATATATTCTATCTTTAATCTATTAGTCACATCCATCATAATATATTCCAGTCTAAACGCATTATTTTATGTTTTGCTCAAAAAATGATTTTTATTGAATTTATATTTCTATAAAAACTAGGGTGCAGGGAGGGGAGATGTATCCTCTGTCTGCTTAGTGGCAGACCAACTCCCATTTTATAAATTATACAAATGAAAGGCCAAAATTGTTAAAAAAGAGAATAGTTGAAAACTTATATCCCATCCAGCATGCAGAAATCTGCATGGCGGCGGTGTTCTGCGGGTATTCCTCCTTATATGTATAATAAAATATTACAAAAAAAAAAGATAATAAAAAACATTATATTTTTTTTATATAATGGAGACTTTTAAACAAGTTAAATAAACAGTGTTTCCCCTAAAAAAAAAAAAAAATGAATCCAAATAAAACTCAGTAGAGGGCGCATTAATATTTTTAGTGGAACAGTCTAAGCTTCAGCCTATTATGGGGCTATTTCATAAAAAAGAATAAAATTCTAGGAAATCATTGAAAATAACTTGTTTTTTATATTGTCAGGTGTTTTTTCGTAATAAAATAAATTTTGTTCAAAAAATGATTTTTATTTAATGACATTGTATTTAAAACATAAAAACGTTTTTAAATTATTGTTAATGTATATATTTGCAGAAAAAGTGTTTGTTAACAAAATGAGGAAAAAGGAAAGCCAAAGAATTTGTAAATAGAAAAAGAATAAAAAATTTTATATTTCCAATTAAACAACTACAACCATTGAGTATTAAACTATCTATAAAATTTATTAAAATAGTTTTATTGTATGAGTATTGTTGTTTTTTTGAACTGTTTGAAAATGGCTAGTTGGGGCAAAATTTTATATAGTGAAATTTCTTGTTAAACCAATTTTTATTAATGAAATAAAGATTCTGGGATTTATTCGGTCATTTTCGTAAATAGCATTAATCATATACTGATTAAATATTGTAATTAAATCGAGATCCTGTAAAATAATGATTAGCCAAAACAAGGTTGTTTATCATACAAATTATTTATTTACTTTTTTATTTCATCCCTACCTTGCCTTAGAAGGAAGATATCAGAAACATAAGGAAATAAGGCTAGGAGCAACCACCATTTTCATTTCAAGGAAGGACCTACAGCTAGAAACAATTTTAAATTATAGATAATCTTCACCTGAATACACAACTCCGTTCAATCACTTGAAAGCCATTGCTTTATATAAGAAAATTTAAATTAAAGAGGCAAAACTTGACAGTTCATTTCACGGAAGAACTTACGCCTGAAATTTTGATATGATATCAAGAATATGTCCCTAAAAGAGAATTCACCTTAACTGACGATTGTGCTCTGTTGCAGTTTGAAAACTGATGTGTCAAAGTCATCAAATAAGGCCAGTCCAAAGGTAGTTGGATGAGGAAAATATTTCGGAACTGTTTTTGGACATGACTCCGAAACGATGCATTTTACTGAAATAATTATTATATACAAAATTTAAGGAGATGAAATTTACTATCAATTTTATACATTGCTTTTTTGATGTAGGTCTAATGGGTGAGGAGTTAGAGAATATTGACTGTATGCTTATTTCAGAAGAAATATCTGTTTTCCCCCCCAAAACTCAAAATCTATGCATCTCTCAAAGAAATTAACTATAATCAATTTGAAAGAGCATTAAATTCCCTATTGACGGAGGGACGCATTCTCAAATTCGACCATATTTTCATAATAAGTTACCCCGAAAACATAATAGTCGACCCTGATATCGATTAAATCCGAAAGGTTACTAAAAGTTGATTGGGGAGGGAGGAGGAAGGGGCGCAATCTCAAATTCGACCATATTTTCATAATAAGCTACCCCGAAAACATAATAGGTGACCCTGATATCGATTAAATCCGAAAGGTTACTAAAAGTCAATTGGGGAGGGAGGAGGGAGGGGCGCAATCTCAAATTCGACCATATTTTCATAATAAGCTACCCCGAAAACATAAGAGGCGACCCTGATATCGATTAAATCCGAAAGGTTGCTAAAAGTCGATTGGGGGAGGAGGGAGGGACACAATCTCAAATTCGACCGTATTTTCATAATAAGCTACCCCGAAAACATAGTCGACCCTGATATTGATTAAATCCGAAAATTTACAATAAGTCGATGCTGGAGGGTGGGGGGCGTAATCTCAAATTCGACACTATTTTCATAAAAAGATACCCCGAAAACATGGTGCATATTGGTAAATTTTTTATGTTATTTCAGAACAATGTTATTTCTGAAATATTCATTTCTTGATTTTTGCAATAATTTATTGCATTTATTAATGAAATAAATAATTCTGAAATAATAGTTATAACATAATTTATTTTAGAAATAACTGAATTCGAAATAATTTAGTTTATTCCAAAGAATGTTAAAATATTGAAATAATTATTTCAGAAATAAATTCAGCAGTTATTCCATCGAGAAATAATTCATTCGTGGAATAACCATGTGAATTATTTCAGAAATAAATTATTTCAAGAGTGCCCAGGTCGTCTAATATATACCATTAAAGTATATTTAAAAAATATTGATTTTCTGGATGAAATCAAATTTGACTCACTCCTTTATAATTGTAATCCCTCAGTTATTCATATCTCTATGTTAACATTATTCTTCATAAATAGAGTATTTAGTTACATTGCTCTGGAGGAATGACATAAACTTATGACTAGGCCAAGTAATTTATCTGAAAGAATGTTGTTAAATATTCATATTCCTAATATTTATTCATTATTATTCAAATTCAATTGTCATTTTACATTTTAGTTTAGTTTGTTTCGTTTATCTTACATAAAGTATTTTGTTGTGTTTTTTTTTACTTACAGGGGTTATAATGAAAGTCTTCCAAATGGATGTCTTATTGAAAATGTTGTTGGAAATTGGGTACCAAACAGGACTGGGACTTATTCTCCTTTCCCCGGTGTGTCCCAGGAAGATGTTCCCACCCTCCAGCAACAACAAATTAATCAACAGCCATCACCTGCACCAGCACCAGTTAAGAAGCAACGTATAGTTGCTGAGGTAACAATTTAAAAATATATAAAGAATTCAGTTACTTTTTATTAGCTTTAATGAATACAAATTGTATATAAGATTTATTATTCTTAATCTTTTATAATCTTGCTAAAGTTGCTCATTATTAGTTGTTTTTTTATTTAGGAGAAACTAATAACTTTTATCTTTATTTTAATTTTTTTTTTTAATTGTCTGTTTATTATTAAAATCAAATTATATTTTGTCAGGAATGTTGTAAGTAAACAGCTTTCATACCTAATGATTATCTTTTGTATTTACATATCTCTTGTAGATAAGTCCCCACTTTTGTTATCTTTTAAATTAGTTTTCATCATACTATGTGCCTTTTTCTTAAAATAGAGCATTTAAAAAACAAAATTTATTGTTGATTTGAAGAAAATAACACTGGAAAATGAAATTTAAATTTATTTATCTTATAAAGAATCATAGGAATAATGTGAAAGATGTTTTTGGTGATAGAAAATTGTTAATTTATGCAGGTTAAACCTATGCGCCCCAGCTATTCTGACGTTCTTGCCAAATCTCCTCCGTTAACACCACCTCCTACAGCGAAAACAGCCTCAAAACCTGTTACATCTCCTCCAATACCTTCTGTAAAATCAGAACCAAAGAAACCTCAAACCAAGCCTAACAGTATTCCTAGTAAGTTTTTTTTTTTTAATATGTAATTTTAATTGAAGATGTATTAGGACCAATTAGATATTTAAATCTTGACTCCTTTGAAATCTACCTGAAAATAAAAGATTGCCTCGCTAAAATGAAGAAGACAAATCAAAATACTTCAGGAAAGGAAACTTTGGTCAGTGGTTTAATTAAAATCTAACCTTTCTGTCCATCATTCAAAATTTTTCTTCTTTTTACAAATCATAATTTAAATATTTTTTATACTTTAGTTATTTTTAGTTCAATCAATAATAGTTTAAAACCGTGGGTTGATGGTTGACTGTAGTGAATAATTGAAGAGAAGGATGGTTGGGGTGATCATTCAAAATAAAAATAACAGAAATAAATAATAATATTTATTTTTACATTTGCCGACGTTTCGACCCGAAGTTCAGGCCTTCATCAGGGCTCAGAAAAGAACCAGATAATAATAGGTATAAGAGACTATAAACATTGAATAATAAAAAATTAAATTCTTTATTATTAACTTTAAATTTTTTATTCTAAAATTTAATTCTTTATTATTCAATGTATTATTCAACAAACCTATTGTTTGTTATCTGATTCTTTACTCAGCCCTGATGAAGCCCTGAACTTCAGGCCGAAACATCAGCAAATGTAAAAATAAATATTATTATTTATTTTTGCTATTTTTTATTTTGTCCGATCACCCCAAACATCTCCTTCTCATCAATAGTTTAAAATCAATATATTAAATTTTGCACAATTAAATCTTTGTCATCAATACTTTTTTGATATCACAATAATTTTTTTAACATTGCACATCGAGAATGTAATATAACCATTAGAAACTTGTTTTGCTTATTTGTTTTAACATACGCATTATAAAAACATTCACACTGAACACTGTCTTTTCGTGAAATGTTTAAAAAAGTGTTTTTTTTTGTGTGTTTTTTTTTTATGTACACAAAATAATGTAATGATTTTCTGAAAATTATCAATTTATTTTATTTTAACAGTGGTAATTTGCTGAATTTTAGGAATTGCGATTTTTATATAATAATATTAGAGATAATGTATTTGTTATAACATTAAATTTAATGTTATAATGGCTTTATAAATGTTGAAAGTTAAATACAAAGCCTTCCGGTATGAATTGTATTTTTAAAATGATAATTTAAATTTTTTATAACAATTATCAATAAATTGTTAAATTTAGTTGTTGTTCTTAATCAAAACTACCTGAATATATCATAAGAATATATTTTGACAATTAATTCATTTTCCATTCACAAATATTTTTGTATTAAGTGAATCTGTACTTGTACACCAATAGCGGTTAACTTATTAAGCCTTTTGGCCACTGCCATGAAAATCATCGGGATAGGATGTATTGTGGATTTTATTGTTGTATTATGAGGTAATTTTCGAAACTTTAAGGAAGTCCAAAAACTGAATGGTGCATCCTCTAAGTTTCACTATTTAATTACTGATTCCTCTAAATGTTTAACTGAGCTCCATAGCTCTATCTCATATGTCCATAAAGGTTTCATTAGTACTATGTAGATGGTAAGTAAGTTATGGATAATTTGGAGCGTCTGTCAAATAATCTGGATAATAGTCCAATAAGTAAAATAATTTAGGTATTGTTTTTAAAAAACTAGATTCAGATGAGATTGGTTGCTTACCTATTGTTGAAATTTTCTTAAGATTTCTATAAATTAATTGCCATAAATAATGATACATAACTGAAAAAACTGCTCACTACCATGTGTGTTACCATTTCAGATGGTAAAATCAACAGTAACTTAAAGAGGGAAAGTTCTAATGGAAGTAACGAAGCTTTAGCAGAAAAAGCAAGGGCTGCAATCAGGAGGTGGCTTTCTCAAGAATTCGAGCCTCCTGTTAAACAGGATATGAAAAAAGAGAAGAAGAAAAAGTCTAAGCAGGCAAAACAAGGTATTTTTTTTTTCAAAGCATACACTTTTAATATTCACACAAAGAATGATATTGAACTTAAATATTGGGGTATACAATATATAGTATTAACATCTCTTAGCAGTTTATATGATTTAATAATTCTTGGTTTTGTTCCAATGTTGGTTCAGAGAATTGTGTTTACATGTATATTAGAGATGTTATTATACCTCAATTTCTTTCTTGATATGAAATCTTTACCAATGAAAATGATTTGTGAAATTGGTAAATATTTTATATTAACTAATGTTTCGAGTTTTTCTAAAAATTTAAGTCTCGAGATCTTATGATGTGATTACCCTCCAAAATTATCTCATGAAGTAGTTTTATGTTTATGTGTGGCTGTTCCAATATATAAATAAAACAGATAGAAAGAAATCAATTATTTGGATATAGTTTTGAAGCTATCAAGTTCTGTGTAGATTTTTTCTATTCACTGATGATTCAGCGACCATCAGATTTGGAATCGTTAAATCCTCTGGTTGTAACCTCATTATAACATCAGTGTTGTTATTTCTCAATTTACTTTATATATCTATATTCAGTTTTCTTTCTGTCAATATTTATTTATGTTTCAAAATCCAATATTCCTATAGGTAGTTATATCCTTACATATTTTTTTTTTCTATTTTTCATGTGTTTATTGTCACCTTCTAAGAGTGTTAACCTTTCGCTGGATTTCATCAGGTCATTCCTCAGCTCATGGTAAATAGCTGTCAATTGCTGCTGGATTCCATCAGTTGATCAGTGGAATTAATGCTGAGTTTAGGAACTTACCCTAGGTACCTCAGCATAATAAATATTTTTAGTTCTTTCTCCCTTTCGTATAAGTACGTATTGTACTGTACTGATTTTCTCTAGTAAGTTCAGTTGCTTGTGGGGAAAACAGTTCTCTCTTTAGTCAGTTCAAATATGGTTATAAGTTTTTTTTTTTTTTTTGTTATAAACCTAATTTGAAGTTATATTTGTCTACAATAATGATCTATCTACTATTTTTTTTTCTCACCCTCCCTCTTGAATATTATAAAGTAGTGTTGAGACTCACAAGAACGGGATTGGGGCCTGGTCCTTCTGCTGTTAGGAGTGGATGGCATAACGAAGATATCATGTCTTCCTTCCCATTTCACTGAGTTACCAGAGGGATCACTTTGCTGGTGGATTTGGTTGATTAAGCTGCAGAAAAGTATATACTATTATGAACTTAAGTCAAAGGAAGAAATACCATTTATGCAGATCTAATTACTAATTGGATGTTATTAAGGAAATATAGTTGGTCATGTATGTACTTATCATGTGTGTAAAACGTATTGTATTTATAATTTAAATTTAACATGAATGGAAGCACATGATTTCTAGGATATATAGGGTGTATTTGTATATATAATCTGGCTTGCCAGAATATAATTGTTTATTTATTGACTGAACCTCAAGTTCCTCAGAAAAACAAAGACAAGGTTGTAATTAACATTTTTGGCTAAAATGAGATCATTATTGCTTCTAACTCTCCTTTAAGATTAAATATAATTTTTTTTATTTTAAAAAAAGTTGAAACTTCTCTTACACCTTTGTCAGTTTCATTTTTACTGATTTTGTCTGCAACACTGTTTTAACTACATTTTGACATATTCTATATAAAATCTAAGGAAAGTATTTTTGTTGTTAAATTCTTCTTAAAAATTTAAGTTACGACTGTGTAAAAAAATTAATTTTATTAAAAATGTTAGCACATCAAGTTTTTACACATGTTTTCTTTAAATTAAGGTTAGGACCAGTTCGAACCTTACCAAACTATGTTAGCACTTGATAAAAAACTTGATCTTTTTTATTAATAGATAGTTGAAGTTGGTTTGGTAAAAGTCTGAAAACCATTATAGTGGATTCGTGTTTGTCATGGTATTAAAACAATGAATTAATGTGACAACTTATCATGCTTTTATTCAGGATTATATTAATCCTTTCTCTTGACAAAAAAAAAACAAGTATTTAAATAAACATGTGTTAATTCTTCATTAATATACAAAACATGGTTTCATGTAATTAATAAATGTCAATTGATTAAGAAAACAAATGTCTTTGCATAGTTTGTTTTTCACAATTATGTATTCAAGTTCTGCCATTAATGTTGTAAACTTATATCAAGTTTCTATTCAGAATTATGATAATAGTTCTTTCCCACAATCTAATAACATAAATATGTAAACTAAGATGTATTACTTCATTAAAACAAAAAACATGGTTTTATATAAAGGGTTCTACAATAATCAAGTATTAAGTTGTATTACATGAAATACCAATTAGTTCATAATGTATGAATTAATATAATCTCATTTTGTTAACAAATTAAATTATGTTTCTTGTTTTTTATGCAATTCTTCAAGTTTGTTGATTATGTGTTCATAAAAGCTTGTAGTTTGGTACAAAATAAACTCCTCAAAGGCATTACATATCTTGCAATGCAATTCTTCAAGTTTGTTGATTATGTGTTCATAAAAGCTTGTAGTTTGATACAAAATAAACTCCTCAAAGGCATTACATATCTTATTAACGATTTTAAACATTCATATTTTCAGGAAATAGTCTTAAAATCTTGTAAAGAGGTAGTAAGTCATTGATTGATTTGTTGGTACCATAAAATGGAGTTACTTTGGGACTCTAGGAATGACTTTTTACAAGAGTTGATTTTGAATTTGAATTTATCTATCAGGCTGAACAAAACATTAATGGTCATTTAGACAACCTTTCTCCAGTCTTGATAAAACAGTTTTTCAGCCTGCTAAGTACTTTCAAATTGAAAATCAATTGTACATAGACACCCCTAGTTCCAAAATTAACTCCAGTTTATGGTACGACTTTAACTTTCAAGAATGGATGTTTTTTCAGTTTCAAAACAAAAATTTTTTTAGTGTGTATCTTTAGGAATTTGTTATTTCATCTCTCATAAAAATGTCATTTCATTTTATGTGAATGTGATTCAACCAAGTAGTAAAAGCATTTAGTAAATATTATAAAAATAAAAGGCTTAGCAATCCCAAAGGTTCAATGCCAATACCACCACTTGCTGTGTACACGCCACTCTCCACCAGCTGCCATCCAAACTCAGTTCTGCCAGATCAATCTTTCCATCTTCGCTTTTACCATTTCGAGTTTACCAGTCAGCACAGTGCATATTAATTTTTTCGAAATTCTTTTGTTCCTAAGCCTAAGAGTTATATATATCTATTTTATCTGCAGTAATGTAATCACCTCAATTATATTAACCAGATACAGTTCGCACAATGCAGCATTGTGTTACCATCTAAATTGTTGACTCGTTAAAATAAACTGTTAATTATTCATCCTTCTTCGGTCTAAATATTGTATACAATATTTTATTTTCACATACCTTAAGATGTTGCTCATACTTTAATGTTAGCGACCACATTTCGAATCCATAAAGAACCTTAGGTAAGATAATAGTTTTGTAAATTCTAATTTTTAAGTTGTGGGACAGGAGGTGGGAGCTACATGGTTTTGGGAGCTAGCCTTAAGCTCCTCTTCAATTTAATTTTTTCTAATTATCATGGATCCTAGATACCTAAATTTCTCTATGTGTTCAAACATATTCTCTTCTCTATCGATTTCACTGATTTGTTGCCGTTTTAGCAGCTAACTGTATATTTTGTCTTATCCATGTTTATTTCAACCCCCAGTTCTTTACTGGCTTTCATCGTCATATTTAGTTTTATAGTTATGAAATAGTTTATTTCATTTTATTTTATTTTAGTTCTATAGTTATGAAGTTAATCCGTGTCTTTGCTAAACAAGGTCAATTGATCAGCATAACCAAGCACAGATATTCTTCTATCCAGATTTAAACCTGTTTTTAGTAAATGTCACTTTCCTAATGGAATCTTCAAATGCTAAATTAAGCAAGACTGGTGAAAATAAATCATCTTATTTTAAACCCGAATGAACCTCTAACTTGTTAGATAAATAATTATTGATTCTAATTTTATTATATATTTCCGTCATGCACATCCTAATTAGATTTACTAATGTTAATGGAATCCCACGCTGAATTTTAATATTATACAGCTTTTGGTGGTCAATGTAATCATAAGCCTTTTTGAAATCGATATACAGCTGGTGAAAAGTACTGTTGTACTCTAATTTTTTCTGTAATATTTGCCGTAAAGAAAATATTTGATCAATTGTTGATTGGTTCTGTCTAAATCAATATTGGTTTGTTAATTATGTTAATGTTTAACTCTTATGATCTGTGTTTAGATTATCAAAATTACCATATTTTGGTTACTACTGATTATTCATGGTTTGTAGTTGTGGAGAAAGAAGAAAAGGTAGAAACTCAAGCAAAGGAGCCTGAAGCTACCAAAGTAACTAACAGAAAAGAAAACTGTAACCCCACTAGTCAGCCTAAACCACAAGTTAGCGAAAGACCGCAAGTGAAGCCGAAAAATAGGGAGAGAGATGAAAGAAAAGGTAAAATCAATGTCTTTATTTTCATCATAAATGTACCAATTCTTTGAAGTTGCTGATTTAATTATTAAGCTGTTCATAATTATTACTTTTTGTTTATATATTTTGTACTTTTCCTAAATAGTACTGAGCCCAAGACCCTTCTTGGGTTGTAGTGGTACAGGGTTTTTATATATTTTAATAATTTTTTTCACTTTCACTTACCTATATATGATATAAATATAATAGTTAGGGAAAGTATTACGATAATGAAAATTTTCGAATCTGAGTTTTTAATGTAAATACATGTTTTGAGGTCATCTGAGTCCAAATGACCAAGTCCCACAAAATGTTCTTTGTGTGTCCAATAGCGAACAAAAAGTCGTGTGCAACTGAAATTGAGTATTTAAGGTTTTTATATGCCTGGGATGTTACAGCAACTTTTTTGTCAAAATCAACTAACCGGAAGTACCACTTTATATCATAGATTTTACACAATTTTATAATTTACTAGAAATTGGCTCTAACGATTTTGATTAAATTCATTATATCTGTGTATAATTAAGCGTTTTAAAATAAAATGTAGGTCTTATTTTTATTGATGTTCTCTAATAGTGTTTAAATTGGTATCTTATATATATATATATATATATATATATATATATATATATATATATATATATATATATATATATATATATATATATAAAAATATAAAAAAAAGGTTAAATATAGTGAATGATATATATATATATATATATATATATATAAATATTAAAAAAAATATACTGAATAGAGAAAATTGATTTGTAACTAAAGAAGAAATAAGGGTTGGAAGCTATACGGACCGGAACGGGAACGGAAACGGCTGAGACCGTCACGTTTGCCGATCCTCTCCTTTTATAGATATCCGATACCACTCTGTATAGAGTTTTCATATTGTTAATTTACCATTTATATATAAGATCTATAACATCCAAAATTTTTTAAAAAGATTTTCATGGGAAATGTTGAGGATCTATCAATATAAACCTAATATTACTCAATATTTACCAACATTAAATTATTTTTTCGACTAGTTTCGTGATAAATATTTGCATAAAACTCAGAATTTTCCCAAAGATCTATTTTTCTGTGTGATAATTTGTATTTTTTGATACTATACAGTCATAAAGAAAGTGATCAGAACGTATACATTTAACAGATTCGACGGGGGGGAAGGGGAAGAAACAAGGTAATTAATTGTTTTAAATGAAGTTATAGCATTGTTTTCACTTTAACTTCTCTATATATGACAATAACTATCTACTCTAAGATTGGCAAGTGAAAGTTGTGTGATGCACGCACTGTACCAGATTTTTAAAATTATGATTTATATTTGTAAGCATTTCATTTCTGAAAATAAGTGATTATTGGCATTATCTGTGGAATCTGAGTCTTACGAAAACAAGTTATTATTAACAATGTAAAAAAATGTATCTTCTATTATTCTTCAAAAACTATGTCCCATTAACTTTTTATATAACAAATACAGATAGACCTTCACATTACACGATTATGGATGTCCTTGGAATAATAGCTCTAGATATTTCTGCTATCTCTCTTATCTTTGCCAGTAAATTTAATTATAGTATAAGAAACTATTGGTGAGGCTTATTGGTTTCTATAATGTCCTGAAAGGTTTTCTGTCTTTAGTAATTGAATGATATATTTTTTCTGTTAGTTTATATTTAGTAATGTTAAAACTATTATTTATGTGGTGGTGGATGGAAATTTTTAATATTCCAACTCTGTTCACTTCGCAAGATAATTACTACGCAACAATAACAAAGAAAATAAATCTGAATTATTACAAATGATGAAATAATTCCAAAATAAAATATCTGCTCCTATTACTTGTTTTATTTATTAGCCAATATTTCTTTTAGTATATTAATTTATACTCAAATATCAAGGAAATAATTCGCAGAAAACTTTCTTTGATTTTGTTTTTATTTATAACATTTATATTATTTCTTTGTTTGTTTATATGATGGACATTCTGTTCATAGGATATATTTTTAAACCATAAATTACTTTAATCAACATATTGGTAATGTTTTAAAAAATATTAAACATTTTTATTTTGTAGCCATGTGATTATTATGAGTAAGTTTGTTGCATAAGGATTTCAAAACAAAGTTATATTTATTAATTATCTCTAACTGAGTAAATTTTAGATAATTTGTGAACTTGTAAGACTACCTGATTGCAGTGAATGTTTAATAATCCAGACACTTACAGATTCAAGAGTTTTTAAAATGAAAATCGAACTTATTTCACCTGCTTAAAAATAATATCAAGATTTGCAATAATGTGTTATTGACTTTAAGTGTCTCAGATGAGGCTTAGCGGTTTTGGAAAAAGAATAGGTAGTACTTGGGTAGTGATTATCCTCCAGATGTGTTTGCTGTGGTTTTAATTTTAAAGGTGGGTTTAAATAAAAGGTGAATGTTTAAACAATTTATTTACTACCAAAACATTAAAATTAGATTATAAATCACTTAGTTCAACGGTCTTGCTTTTTTCCCCGTTTGGTTATAATTTTGGTTAGTCTGTTATGGGATCCAGTTCCTCTGATGTTGGCGATAAACAGAAAGGCAACTAATTAGTTGACGTTTCAGGTGATTCTACACTATATCGTAGATAGGGGATCAAATAAAAATTGAAACTCTAAAGATGCTCTGCATCTTCGTTTTCATTCATTATCTAATTGTTGGTTTTAATGGCAAATCTTCCCTTTTTCTTTTCTGTCTTTTATTTATACATCCTAATAATTTCTCATTGTCATAAATCAACTTGTCTTGTGCTTACAGTATTCATAGGCAAAGTATTTTAACAATGATAACATTTTAACACAATCTTGTGTGCTTCTGAATTGAGTGGAAGCCATTGTTAGAAACATCTTTTGTGGTTCTATAACCAGCAAATATGTTTATTTATTGCATAGTGTTAGTTCATTATAATTTTGATAAATCCATAACTAGTCATGGATGACATGTATAAACTTAAAAAAAAAAAACAATATCTTTAACATATCTCGCTCTACCCTTTTTCATGACCTATTTGATATGTTGATAGGTTTGTGGTAAATAGTGGACATATTGTCGGTTTATTGCTAGAAGTAAATTTTTGAAGTAGCTACAGTTTTTAATACGTTTTTATGAATTTTAACCCATATTTATCAATTTAAAAACACAGAAAGTGAATCAAAATTAAACGATCCCTACCTACTACACAGATCCTAACACTAATCCTGATATCCTTGATTTCTTCATCCACAACAGCTTAGGTCCCCTCAATTGTTTGATTACACATCTAATTAAACTTTTCCTCTGACACTAATAGTTCACTAATTCTTCATACATATCTGTCATCCTGGTGTAATAATACCTGTCCTGAAGTTTGAAAGGTATAACTATTGGGAGGGTCCCAGATATAGTCTTATCAAATATAGTTACAAAAAGTTCACAATATTCTTATTTCACAGAGGAAAAATTCAACAAGTTTTAGTAATTTAATTATATAAAATGTTACCTAATGACTTTCGTAATAAACCAACGATATATTTTATATTACTTCTATCCTAGATTAAAAACCAGTATCTCTTGCTTTCTCTTAACAATTTTTAATTTCCTGAAGAACCTTATTAAAAAGATTTTGTAGTGGAATTTCACAAAAAAAAAAAAAAAAAATAAATAAATAAATAAAATTTAAAAAAAAGTTAGGAATAATTTTAGTTTTTTTTTTGGGTGGCTCTTGATTTAGTAAGAGGACAAACAAGGCGATTGAATGTTGGTACTGACCAAATCACCTACAAATGTTGAAGTTGATATACAAATGTTGATCAAGAAACAACACTTCCTCATCAAGTATTGAACCCAAGACCCTATAATATAGTGATGTAGTTTTACAATTTATTTATTTTTAATTGTAAATTCTGTAGGTTTATTTAATTTATTTTGTGTTTTTTTAAAAACTTGATCGCCAGCTTACATTGATTTAACATAGCTCATAGAGGCTTGTTGTGCACATTTCTTCACTGCATTACCTTAAGGGTTAAGGCATCAATGAAAGAAAACTATGATTTTATGTCTAATTTATTCCTGTTTCAATTTTTCTAGTTGATAATGTATGATACTAGTGGTTCTTTTGGTTTTGAAGAAAATAACATTTACATTTTTATTTATGTACACTTTCCGATTTTTTTTATTGATAACACTAAAGCTCATAAGTAGCTAATAAATAAAAAAAAAAAAAAAAAGAAAGAAAATCAGCTGACTAACAGAGAAGAAAAAGGTATTGAACTGTTTTATTTTTACTATTTTTTTATTTATTTATATAATGATACAAAAAACTTGGTCTCCAAGGTGATCAGCCATCATAGTTGTTAAAATCAATTGAACAATCATTGATCCAATTCATTTTCCCCATTCTAATATAACTCTATTTCCACATTTAATCTTCACAAACTTTAAATACTTCTTATGTTAAAATTGTTTGATTTGTCAAGATAGTAATTAAACCTCTAATAAGCATTAATTACTGTTACATTACTATTACGATGATAAAAAATGTTTACAGCTATTTTAGTTGAAACCTCAATGAATTTATTTGGAAGAAATTGTCATTATATGTTTTTTAAAACAAATTAATAACATTCAATTTTAATACATCTGGTTTAAATAAAATTTATTATGGATTCGGGTATAAAAAAATGTAATCTATACAATTAAATAATAAATAATACCAATGAAAACCGCATATATGTACATAATATTGTTGGAGTCCATGCTATATTAAGCTCATGTTACTATGGAATTTTCCGGTGAGCTGGGCCGCGCTCTCATATCCCTTTGATTCCTCCATTACAACTATTCTCTGTTACAATCTCTTATTTTTTTTTTAGTTAATTATCAAATTTTATATTTAACTTTTTTTTTTTTATTAGAGATCAATGTGAAATGTTCAATTGTTTGAAATAAAAAAATTTAAATACTTTAGAGAAAGCTAATATTGAAAATTAGGCATTTAAACCCTATTAGAGAACATCAATGAGAATAAAACCTACATAATATTAAAAACTGCTTAATTTTACACAGATATAATGAATTTAATCAAAATCGGATTGGAGCCGTTTTCGAGAAAATAGCAAAAATGTATTTCATAGATTATATAAAGGGCCACTTCTGGTTAGCCAGTTTTCATGAACAAGTTGCTGTAACATCTCAGGTTTATACAAACCTTAAATATGCATTGTCACTTTCATACAACTTCATTTTTGAACTAGACATGTCACATACATACACACGCACACACATACACTGACCACTTTGTGGGACTTGGTTATTATTCTCAGGTGACCTCAAAGATATATTTCCATTGAAAACTCAGATTTGGAAATTTTCACAATCGCAGTACTGTCCCTTACTATATATTTCATATATAGGTAAGTGAAAATAAAAAAAATGTGTTCTTGGTACTATGAAATAATTTAAAAGGAAAAAAACAAGTTCATTTTTTAAAAAATTGAGTTATTGGTTTTTAGTCATTAAATATGGATTCATCAACAAAAGCTGCATTTTTTCTAGAGAGTTGGAATACGAATAAATAGTTGGATATTATTTGTTGAATTCATTTTTTCATTCTCTACATTTAAAAGAATGCACCATTTCATCTGAACCCATTTATAGCGCTAACTCAACAAAAATAAAGTGACAACTGGTTTTTCCCTTTACCTTTCATTTATAATTGCTATGTTCTTTCGCATTAATTAGAAGCAAACTACATGTTTTTAGAAAAATGTACCACTTTTATTTCTTTTCTAGAATATTAATAACAAAATATTTAGCTATTAAAACCTATAAAATAAACATAGTATCTACTGGACCTGAAATATCTGAAAGTCAGGGAATTTTTCTGAATAATATTTTTAAGTCACAGTATTTTAAAAGCTAGGGGATGTGATGACTCATTTGCTGTTATGATTCTGAATTATTATAATTCACGATAAACTTACGTATTAGTGATATTCTGGATGCTCTGTGAGTAATGGGGGAGAGGGGAGTTATTCCTTGCAGACTTGTTATTGAGACAGATTTTTTTGTTTACTGTAATTTATTTTATTTTATCTTCATTTACTTGTTGGCTGATTTCTTTTGGTTCTCTTATCTAATGCTCAGCAAGTCTCTTTATGTCCTAATAATTGCTTCAATATCGTCTGTATATGCAAGGAGCTTATGATTCATTCTGATATGCACCATTATATTTTCATGTGATATGACGGGATTATTTATGGAATATTTGTATATATATTTATAAATATAGACATTATAAATCAAATGTATTGTTGTGTGTTCATCCGTTTTTTTTATGATAAGCCATTCCTGTGCCAACCAAAGTGTTTAGTTGTTTTTTTAAAAATATTTTTATACCAAAACATGGTTTAGTTAACTTTGTTGTTTAAGTTTAAAAGTTAGAATTAAAGATAATATTTTTAATGATGTAGAGATGGTTGACCGTTGATATAATATGGGGAGTTGATCGGGGGGTGCGGTCAAATTAGTACTAAATTAAACAAGTAGAATTATTTTTGTATTGTTAATTAAAAGAGATGATTTAAGTTTCTGTTAGATATCTCTCAAAATTATATGGCATACAAATTTACATTTTTTTGTAAGGCCTCCATTATTGTGGATTACTGTGTATAAAATGTTACATATAATAAAAATACTATCAATCAAGGTCCAGTTTATAAATTTTAGTTAGGACCCCATCATATTTTACTCTTTAATTACCTTCTTTCAAGAAAAAAATAAAATGAAATTAACCATTCTAACTACCATATAAAGTAATTGTTGTTGTCATTTAATGTTTTATCATATTTTAAAAGCAGGAAGCATGCAGTAATTAAATTATATGTAAATATCTTTCTTCTTCTATTAAAATATTTTGGTGTCCTGAGATTTTTTCTATTAAAGTTATGAAAAAATCTGAAGAAATCAGGAAATACCATAGAAAAATTTTGGTAAACATCCTGAATAAATTAAAACTAAAAGATCAGATCTAAGTTAGGTTTTATTGTATGTTATAATGAATACATTTACCTGTGTGAGTGAAGTGTTTACTTTAATCTGCATTGACAAAGAAATAAAACTTAATTGATTATTTTGATGAAGGAGTTTAAAAAATAAAAATAAAATTAACTTGTGAGCAAAGCATATATGTAAAAGAACATTTGATAAAAATTGTGATAAACTAGCTGACTTAAAAAATAAAAATAAAAAAAATTTGTTTGATACAGGTTATCCCATTAGAAGGGATTTTTATAGGAGTGTTAGCAGACCTCAAGAGCTACAAAAAAAGTTCATATAAATAATCGGCCAATTTTCACCAGAAAAATAAGAAATCCAAGTTTTGTAATTTTTTAAGTGAGTCATGTTTTTTAATGAATTGGAAGCAATAACTAAAGAAATATTTAATTTAAGTAATTAATAATTGCAGGGTTTATCATTGTTCAAACCATTTACCAGAGGACTTTTGAGAGGCTAAACTTAGCCAAGTTCTGTTTATAGAAAAATCATAAATTATTCACCATTTTTTTTGTTTATCAGCATCCAACTATACTACAGTTTTCCCACTTCTAAAAAAACTTCTTTTTTTTTTTGGGTCCTCGCCTTTAAGGATATATTTGGTTTTCCCGGGCCAGGGGGTGTGGCGGGCATTTAGTAGACTCCCCCGCCACCGGGACGAGAACTCGTGACTGTTTTAAATCCATTGTCTCATATATCAAGTTATTTTACTATTCTATTCTATCAGGTTGCCGGGCAACGGCGGTGCTGTGCACACACGTTATCCCGTTTGGCCACCCTGCCCACCATGTATTAATTAAGTTGAGGTTTATTAGGGAAACATTTAGATTCAGCTCAAGTTTTGTAAAAAAAATTATATTTTTTATCCTCTCAAGTAAAAGTAGCCCCATAGCAGATTTCAGCAAAAATGACTACTATTAACTGTTGCAAAGCTTTTATTTCTTGTTTTTTCATGATCTGGGATATATTTTAATGAAACCAATTGCCTAAACACACATTATATTTTGTTAAAAAAATATAATTCGAAAAATACTGATTTTTTTTTTCTGGTAAATCTGTTATAAACTTTGTTTTTCATCCAGATCTCTATTTTAGGGATTGGTCCGAATTTATAAGTGACAAACTAAAGGTTCCTGATTATAATAATAATGTTTTAATTAAAATAATTTAAGCAGTCAGCAGGGTTTTTTTATTAAACATAAATTTTAGGACTAGAACTTTTATTTTGTCACTCACAAATACTGATCTATTCCTATGATAGAGATCTGTAAAAAACACAGTTTATAATCAATTTATTCGAAAAACATTTTAAAAATTAGTATTTTTTGAATTGATTTTTTGTATAAATAAAAAGTGTGTTTAGGCATTGGGTTTATTAAAATAGATCCCAGGTCATGGGAAAACAAGAAATAAAAGCTTTGCAACAATTAATTATAGTCATTTTAGCTGAAAACAGGGGTACCTTTACTTGACAGGATAAAAACTATCATTTTTTTACAGAACTTGAGCTGAATCTCAAATTTTTATCTAATAAACCTCAACTTAATTAATACGAACTTAAAGCTTATTAAACGAAGAAGTTTTTTTAAAAGTGGAGAAATTGTAGTAAAGTTGGATGAGGAGAAAAAAAAAGGCGAATAATTTATGATTTTTCAAAAAACAGAACTTGGCTTAGTTTAGTCTCTCAAAAGTCCGCTGTTAATGGTTTTAACAATGATAAACTCTATGTACATTTAAAGGAAATTTCATCTTGTTTACTATGAAGCAATTATTAATTACTTAAATTAAATATTTATTTGATTATTGCTTTCGATTCAATAAAAAAAAACACAAAACTTGGATTTCCTACTTTTCTGCTGAAAATCGGCCCATTTTTTATATGTAGTTTTTTGTAGCTCTTGAGGTCAGGTCTGCTATCACTACTATAAATATTTCCCTCTACTTACGGGACACCCTGTATAACTTATATTCAAGGATGGAACTCTTTCAGGTTAAAACATGGCATATTTACTGATATGTATTTTTCTCTTGTTAGGTTCTTCTAGTAAGTCTGAACGAGGAGCAAGTACAAGGACTACAAAAGCCAAGAGATCTCAAAGGAGTTGCCGTAAAAAAGAGAGTCATCTAGGTAATCCTTTAAATAATATTTTCAGAGAGAAAATGTTTTTATTTAAAATAGATCCAGTCATTAAAATTAATGGGTACATTAGGTACTACATACCTTGTAGTATATACTAGACACATTTACTTTTTTTTGTTGCTAATGAGATGCGTAATTTCGCATTTCTTTAATAATATATATTCTTTCCCTTTATCTTGCCATTTAAATTATTAAAACTATTAATTTGATGTATTTAATTGAATAAAGTGTAAAATCAAATCTTGATAGATTTAAAAAAATAAATCTCAATTGATTTTTTTTTTTTCAAATAAGAAGTTCACTGTTTTGCAGCAATTCAAAGTAAAGAATAATGCTACTTACAGACTGGATTATTGGATTCTTTCTAGCAAATAAAAATATTGGTTAGTTCCGAAGTATAATCACACATCAATAGAGATCTCTCGAATACATAGATTCTTTGAAAAAAAATTATGCATATATTTACTGATGCATAGAAATTTCTATATATAGAAAGATTATAGTTTTTTATCCTTTTCTTACAAAAAATAATTATTTTTTAGAATTAAGAAAATATCACTGGTAGTTTTTTTTTTTTTTAAAGAATATTATATGCAGTCATTTCTACTTTTTTCCTGAACCAAACCTTTAACCTTAATTTAAAATAAAAATTTCATTTGATGATATGAAAGAGATTCAGAAATTTTCACTGCTGTGAATACAACAATAGTTTCATCTGAAGCAAAGTTTTCCCAGAACCTCGATTTGCTTTGTAAAACTATTTATTTTTTAATTATGACACATGAATGTTAATTAAGGATCCTTTTTAATGAGAATCATTTTTTTTATTTTTTCATTTCTGGTACATAATATTTTTTTTTCTAATAAAAATGTAAGGTTTCTAAACCTTCATAATGTTTTCAATAGAAGTTTGATTGCTATATTGACAACTTGACTGTATATTGTCCATGTTCAAATTTTTCATACAAGATTTTGTTTTGTTTTTATGAAAACAGTTTCTAAGAAACTACAAAAAGTAATTTCGTTCTTTTGTAGCAAATAGACTATTTCAAATTATTTTTTAAAAAATATAAAAAAGAATGATCATTGTTTTAGAAAAAAACAAATAAAGAACATACAATTTAAAATGTTTTAGAAAATAAACCAGAGAGGTGGAAAGATATTGTGTTTAGCAGATGTATACTTCTTATTATGGCTCACTCTTCTGTCCCCAACCATTATTCCCCAACTCACTGATGTTTCAAATTATTAGCTAATTGTGAACCTTTCTTATTAAATTATTAATAATAAAAAAAAGTTCACTTGCAGAACTGTTCAAACATGCCGAAAGTAAATCTTTCATGACCCTGCAGAACATCATTCTCACTACCTGGGGTGAGGAAACTATCCCAGCTGTCTGGAGAATACCAATTTTATTAATTGTAATTTGTGTATCTATAATTTGATTTCGGATTAAATCTATTAAAAGTGGTTATATTCATTAATAGATGAGATCTGATTTCATTACTACTTTTGTGCTTAATTTCGTTTCTTACCTTTAAATATTTAGTGTAAACTATTTTATTTTTAATAAAAATCCTTTAATGATCATTTTTATATTTATGACAAACAGTATACAGTGTCGTAACAATATCTGTGTCATTTCTGAATTCTTCTTCATTACAAAGTTAACAAGTCTGAGACATCTTTTTTCTTAAATAACTAATTTTCAATTGGAGCCATGAGCCTGCTGCCCTCACAGCCTAGGTATCCTAACGCATTCTTTCCATTTTTTTTATTTTTTTTCACAAGGTAATTGATGGGAAAATATTTATATTTATAATTTAAAAATGTTTCACTAATGAAATAAATTAAGTTCTGGTTTAACATGATGTATTTTTAATTTTTACATATCTTATAAATGAATGTTCTTGAAACTTTTATTATAATTATTTGTTCTTAATAGGATCCAATAACTTCAAATTCCAAATGTGCATTATTAACTCCAGTTAAATAAGATTAATCTCTTTCAGGTGCTCTTTGCAGAAAATGGCAAGAACAGTCTTCATATTACTTATTCCTTTTAACATCTTGGCTGATTAACTTACTTTGGGATGTGACAGCCATGTCAGCTACCCTTCTGGTGCATATGTAAGTATTGAAAATTTATATGTTTTTATAAATGTATATGAAAATTTATATCTACTTGATTAACCTAAACATTAAAAATCTATTCCATGAAAATTTTTGAAAATTAAAAATGACTAAAGGACCATTTATGATAAAAGCATATAAAAACTATATTTCGATAATAATTTTGTAAAATACTTGCTTACTACTTGCTTTCTTGAGGTCCACTCTGTTCATAGCCCATTTCAGTGCCTCTACTTTTTACTAAGCCTGTTTTAATTAATGGGGGCTTTGCTGAAGGAAACATTTTATATTCTAGGGGATTCTCTTCCCCCCTAACCTTAATAGTACTATGGTTAATCTTTATTCCAACCTGTAAAGAACTTAAGGAGTAAGAAATCAGCCTATAACAAACCCTAATGAATGAGGCATATACAGCAGATTCTTTAAGATAGGTCTTTGTGTTATACCTAAATGAGTACGTAGAAAGCACTTGGAAGCCAAGTGTTGATGTACCTATAGATCTCATGGGCCTTGAGTGATCCATTATCAATCCTCTCAAGTTGCTTGTCTTCATCTACAGTGGGATGAAATATTTTCTATTGATGCTGGGTATTCTCCCTCCTAATTGTATTTATTTATTGTGATCTAAGAAATAAAAAAGGAAAAATTATTATAGGTTTGGTGAGGTGATGTCTGCTTGCAAAGCATGGGCACAATGTGCAAGGCTACGTGGGCCCTCTCTTCTTGGTGGTTGGAGGCGTAAGAAGACTCCAGATCCTCCACCCCCTCCTCTGCCTGGATCTCTACAACACAACATATCCTTACCGACAACTGGGGATGAGGCTATGAAGAGGCTTTTGTCTTGTAAAGGCAAAGATCCATATAGGTTAGATGAATCTTGATGCTTGGTGGCTTGTTATTGAATAATGTGTAAGTTGATCACTATAATAAATTGTTTATTTTAGTATACTTGGTGTGACAAGTACATGTACAGACGAGGAAATAAAAAAGTACTATAAATCTCAGGCATTGCTTGTTCATCCTGACAAGAATTCGCAGCCTGGAGCTGAGGAAGCATTCAAGATCCTTGTACATGCTTTTGATCTAATTGCTGAACCAGTATGTAATTATTATTCTGTTTAATGTTTGTATGTGATTTTTTTTCTCTAAAACTAATACTCAATATCTACTTGCTCCATCTAGAATTAAATATAAATGGTTATCTTGGATGATCATTTAATATTTTTGATTCTTCATCCATTCTTGAACATATCCTCTGATATCACCTCAGATTAACTGCTATCTATTTTTTAGAGTAGCATAATCATGAAATGTATGTTTTTCTAGGAATCATTCTTTTCAGGGAATTAAAGTGTCTTAATTTTTTCTTTATTCCATCAATTACCAAAGATACTGCAAAGTATGTTTTTATTCTCATAATGTTTATACTTCTTAATTATTCTTTGTAGCTTAGGTGTCAGCATGTTAGCTTGCAGAGACTACCTTTAAAGCTGTCAAAGTCATATCTTAACGACTATCGTTTAATGATTGATCTTGGTGTATTTTGTCTAACTCTAGGAATATTTCATATTTAATTCATTCTCTTATTTTATTAAATTGTTAGTAATGGACACTTGTATGATCAAATGAAGACAGTTAAAAATTAATGGCACACGGACATATCATGTATTTGTTTTTTAATCTCGCTGTTATCATTCTTAATGTTTTTGGTAGATTATTAATATTTATAATAATGAAATCTATTTTAGGAGAAAAGAGCAGCTTATGATCGTTATGTTGCTGAGACTAATCAAGTTGAACAAGCTTGGAGTGAATTAAGCGATCTTATTTCTCAACTTCATGAAAAAATGGAGTATGCAGCCAATACAATTAGGTAATTATTTTTTATTCTGTGTCTGCATGATTCAATCATTATCGGCCTTTGGATAAGTTTATTAATATGTAATTAGAGTTGTGTTTTAATAAATCCCAGTTGGATCAGTGAAAAGGTGTTCCTGTTCCTTATCTGTACCTGATACTTAAAGCTTCTTGCAGTAAGGGATCATTGATATATCATGATTCAGATTCCTTTAAGACTCATATTTTTTTATATTTACTTATGTCAGTCTCCTGCTCTTTGACAGATTCAAATATATTGGCTCCATAATAACCTTAATAAATGACCAACTATCTGAGAATGATCAATATGTGATAAGCATAAATTGAGCTTTCTTTGCTCTTTTGAAGGCACTGAAATTCCAAAAAATCTCAAATTAAGGATGTGCAATGATATGATAAAGCCAGTTCCGATATACAGCAGTGAGTCCTGGAAATTGACCTGCATCCTAGAAAAAAAAGTTGAAAGATTTGGGGGAAAGTCCTCTGTACGATAACTGAGTGATCTGAGATTAGAGTACTAATGATTGGAGGAGAAGTGCCAATTAAGAAGTATTTTCCCAAACTATTCAGTCTATTCTCATGATATAAACCTAAGAGAATTAAGATGGGCATGAAATGTATCCCAAAGCAGAGGCGGATTTACAGGAAGAGAGGGGAGGGGCATTCGGGCTGAAGCTCCCTCCAAAATAGTAAAATATAATCATGTTTTATGAAATAAATTATCTCTATAAGTATTACTGTTGGTCTAATTACATTTAATAGGACTCAATGAATTACTTAAACACCATTTCATAAAGGTACTTAGTTTCTTTCTTGCTTCTGAAGTAATTATCTAAATATTTACCTACAAAAAAAAACTCTTGGGCTGTAGCCTCTGCCAAAATTAAATCCTGGATCCATTAGTGGCCCAAAGAAACAATCCGTCAGTGTTGAAATATAGAACTGTGAATAAAGGTATACATTTTACCACCAGAAACATCACTAAAATTAATAATAAATAATGTTCAAATTGGGATTAGTCATTTTGTCAACCGAAAGGCTCATATATACCTAGAGACGTTTGAAAGTATATCTGAATATTTAACCTATAAATGATTATGGAATGTAGGACTATTAGTTATTAAACAGTTATTTTCCATTGTAAAGTTTACTAAAATGAAATTACGAGATTTTCATTGGCTGCCATGGATAGATCAAAAGTTGTCACACTAATTGTAAGTGGACAATGTTGGGATTTCACAAAGGGAAAATTCATTAAATTATTCAATTGATGATTTTTTGAGATAAACGGCCGATAGATACCTAATTATTTAAATATAATATCATATCTAGAGTTATTATACTACAGTAAATGTATTTAAGGTTATAAACATCCATGAAACATTTTTATATTTCACTTCTTCTTTCATACAAATACAATGAAATAGTATTTTAAACAATGGCATTGGCTATATGTAAACTTTTAAATGTTTTTCTAACATATAAAAGTTTACTTATAGTAAGAAAATTTCATTTAATTTCCTTGGAAACATGTGATTTACATTAAATAATGTTAATTTTCTGAAATCATTATTTATATTTTTTCCGTTATCTTCTTCGACTTTATTTATTTGATATTATTTTTTCTAAAATTTTCTGCTTCTCAACAATATATTATACATATACCTTCTGACTTTTATTTCTGGAGATATATTTTCAACCCCTGGAAAAGCATTTTTTTTTCAGTTTCCAATTATCATATTCTTTCAAATTTTATACTTAGCAATTTTTTATAATAACTGTCAATAAAAGAGAGTTCATTTTTTTAAATAAACCATATTAAAGGTACTTTAGAGGAAGACGGATATGAACATTAGTTATTTAAGCCCTGTTAAGTGACATCAATGGGGATAAGACCTAACTTATATCAAACACTACTTAATTATACAATGATACATCAAGTTTAATCAAAATTGTTTGAGCCGTTTTTGAGAAAATTGTAAAAATGTTTATCGCAGTTGGTATGAAGTGCTAATTCCGGTCTGCCGATTTTAAGGAAAAAGTTGCTGTCACATCTAAGGCATATACCTATCTCAAATACCTAATATCAGTTTTGTAGGACTTTTCATTTTTGAGCTAGACTTACCACGTACATACACACAGATCACTTAGCAGGACTTTTTTAGACTCAGAGGACCTCAAAACATGTATTTCCGTTAAAAACTCAGATTCGAAAAAATACTTTTCCTTACTATATATTATATATTTAGGTAAGTGTGTAGGGGGGAGGGCCAAACGGCTTCAAAACTGTGCACGTGCGTGAGAACTGAAATTGCATATTTAAGGTTTGTATATGACTGGGATGTTACAGCAACTTTTTTGTCAAAATCAGCTAACAGGAAGTGCCACTTTGTATCGCCAATTTTAACCATTTTTACAATTTTCTCCTAAATGCTCTAACGCTCTACAATTTTGATTAAATTCATTATATTAGTGTAAAACTATGTGGTTTTTGATATAATGTAGATCTCAATCCCATTGATGTTCTCTTACAGGGTTTAAATGCCTAATTTTCAAAATTTCTTCTAAAGTACCTTTAATTTTTTAAATTTGAAATATTAAGCATTTCTGATTTGAGAACCTGCTATAAAAAAATGGTTAAATATATAGTTAATGAAGAAAATTGTAACTAAAGGAGAAATAAGAATAGGAAGCTCAGCTGTTTAGTCGAGAGCGCCTGACCATTGGCGATCCTCTTCCTTTTCAGATATCCGATATCCCTTTGTACAGGGCTTTCATATTGTTAGCTTAACTTTTATTTATCAATTATCAATAATTTTTTAAAAAGGTTTTCATGCAAAATTTGAAGGATTTACTAATAGCCCTGGAGCCAGGGCCCAAAAATCGACCTCATCGCAGGCGAAGGTTTGATTGTAAATTACGAAAGTGTATGTTATTCTGAGTAAAAAGAACCTTGTCTGCCGTTCCAGACCTGCTGCTTTAAAAAATGTTGGTTGATTTAAAGAATATTAGGCCAACAATTTGAGGATCGAAGCGGGAAATCCATTGCGAAAAAAGTGAGAAAAGTTTTTATTTTTTCAACTTTTATATATGGGTTTAGACACGTAAAAAACAAAATTGCTAACGTGGGCTGCCAAGGGAAAACTTTTTAAGGCCAAAAAAGTCAGATTATTTCGATAATTTTTGGGTTTTTTATCTATAACTGCTAAACGATGCATCAATGCGAAAAATGTAATTTTTAATAAATTAAAGGACGTTAAATTTTGCGTCAAATGAGTACATAAACTTCAAAATTTGGTTACGCGCTAAGGTATAAAACCACGGTCAACCAACGCTGAATTTAACCAAATTTGTCAAAAACTTAGACAAATTACTATAAATAGCTCTGTAACTTGCAAATGAGTTCTCTAAGAGGAAAAACCCATAGAATCAAAATTGTAGAGCATCAAATTTTGCGTATACTGAGTACTGGCATTTTTATTGTAGGCAATTATATATCTCAAATCGGGATTCGTTATTCATTTATAAAATTCGGTATCTTTCGGCACATCGTTTACGAAAATCTTTTGCTGTTGAGAAGTGGAAAAGAGGCTTATACTGCATGTAACATACTTTCAACAAAACTAACTCAGTATAAAAGACACGCATACTGTTGAAATATTGAAAATCACGTTTACCTTCATTACCAATTTCTAACCATCGGGAGATTACCGGTTTTTTTTCGCAGCAAGTGACCTAAATTAAATTAGTTGGTACTCAGTATAAGCAAAATTTGATTTTCTACAACTTTGAATCTATGGGTTTTTCATCTTAGGGAACTCATTCCCAAGTTACAGGGCCATTTATAGTAATTTGTCTCAGTTTTAGACAAATTTGATAAATCTCAGGGTTGCTTGACCGTGGTTTTATAAATTACCGCATAACCAAATTTTAAAGTTTATGTACTCGTTTGACGCAAAATTTAACGTTCTTTAATTTAGTAAAGAATACATTTTTCGCTTTGATGCAATGTTTAGGAGTTATAGATAAAAAACCAAAAAAAAAAAATATCGAAAAAATCTGACTTTATTGGCTGTAAAAAGTTTTTCCTTGGTGGCCTGCATTAGCAATTTGGTTTTTTACATATCTAAATTCATATATACAAGTTAAAAAAATAAAAACTGTTCTCACATTTTTCGCAATGGATTACCCGTTTCGATCCTCAAATTACTGGCCTAATATTCTTTAAATCAGCCGCCACTTTTGAAAGCAGTAGCTCTGGAACGGCAGACAAGGTTTTTTTTAACTCAGAATAACATATACTTTCGTAATTTACATTCAAACCTGCGATCAGGTCGATTTTTGGGCCCTGGCTCCAGGGCCATAATACAAATCTAATAATATGCAATATTTACTAACGTTAAGCTATTTTTATTTTTTCGATGAATTTTGTGATGAATGTTTCTGATAAAATTCAGATTTTTTCCTAAGATCTATTTTCCCCACAATCATTGGTATTTTTTTAATGATATACACAGTTGTAAAAAGAAATGGAAAGTGATTCAAATGCATAAATTTAACTGATTTGATGATAGGTGTGAAAAACATGATAATTAATTGTTTTAAATGAAGTTTTTACTTTTGACTTCCTATAAGGAAATATTTATCTACTCTAAGGTTGGGTAAGTGACAGTTGTGTGATACGCGCACTGCACCAGATTTTTATATTTTTGATCAGAGACTTAAACAAAGATACAGCTTATCCTGCTATATTATAATATTTATCAGGGCAGTCGGAAAGTCTTTTGGGTTAAGTATAAAGACCACTGTGATGCATATTTTCTTCTTCGAGAGAAATTGAATATAAAAGCTTTTTGTGGACAATTATTTGTCCTGACGACATCACTCCTTTGTTTGTTCTTATATGATTGTCTTATCTGACTCATTTATTTAAGAGGAAGCAGATGGAATGTTCATCTAAGCACACTACCAATTTTTTTTTTCTGATCATCCTAAGGAGGTATTCAATGCTTACTAGTTTTATGTAACTACTATGTTTGCATTTGGTTACTTGGTTATTATATATTGTATGTAATATGTTTGTTGCAAATAAGACTCGTTTTTCTATATTAATTTTTCAATTCTATTTTTCTTTTCTTCATGTTCTACCACAATACACCCATGTTTGTTACCTCATCATATTTTCAATGTTAAAGATTTTATTTGTTTGACGATATGTTCCTCATGAGTAATAACCAAGTATATCCTCTTAGTTTGGAATTGAACTATCTGGTCTGTTAATGTTACTTTGGCCTATATATTTGTATGATTATACTCATGTAATTATAAGTATACTAGGCTCGTTTTAAGGAAATACCTGATTACTCAAATTATTCTGGAGAAATGTTTATATTTTTGTTCAGAATAAAATAAAATATACTCCTGTTATAAGAAAAATAAACTATTCTAAATAAAATAGAGGTATTGGAGTTTCCCTGATGTCTTCTAAAAGTAATCATGAGTATAGATATATATGTTATTTTTTCTTAATTTGTATTTTATATAATTTTTAGCTAATGGTATTTTTAAAAATCTAAGTTTGCTTCTTTATTTTTAAATAGGTGTAATAATTGTGGTAAAAGGCACAAACGGGAAATTACAGATAGGCCAAGTTATGCTGCTAGGTATTGTGCACAATGTAAAATTCACCACTCAGTTAAAGAGGTAATTATTTGCAATATTAAATAAATTGTTTAAAATTTTTATTAATGACTATTAAACAACTTGTAATGCTAATTTTTACCAATTTCATAGACAGTGATATATAATTAAATAACAATTGTGTTAGGGTGATATGTGGGCTGAATCACGTGGCTGGGGTTGGTGGTCATGTAGATATTACGCTTGCATGGAAGGTTCTGTTTACGACATTACACAGTGGGCCCACTGTCAAGGACCTACCGTGCAGAGGGTTAAGCCAGACTCACATACTGTCCAGTATAGGGTTCTGGTTGGAAGGCCACCTCATTCTAATCCACCGTATGTATTTTTATATGTAAATGTAGTTATTCATTATATATATATTTTTTTATGTTCGCTGAATCTAAGCTATGAACATTTGTGCTTATTTATTTTATCTCTTTTATGAATAATGAAATGATTTGTAATTGTAGCATATGTTATGACAAAATTCTTTCTCAATTTAACTTTTATTTGTAATAATGTGTATATTAAGAAGGTAATTTGTTAATGTAGGTTAGGAAAAAGCTTAACTGAACCCAAAACTATATTTTGAAGTATTGTGCATGCAAACATTCTGCTGGATTTTAAATAACTAATTAAAATAATATTAATCAAAAATAATTATTACCAAATTTAGAAAGTTTTAAAATAATACTGTAAAGTACCAGACCTGTGTCTTCAGCTGTCCTTGCCTGAAGAAATTTCATCTATTAAAAAAAATATACCATGCTAAAACTACTTTTAAAAATATTTTATTGTTCTAATTTTGTTTGTAGACCTGAACCTGACTTTGAAGATCTCTTAAACAGTCTTTACTCACAGAATGGCTCTGGAAGGGGAAAGAAACGCTCGAAAAAGAACAAGTGAAAAATTAGATAAATGTTGTGGCCCCGGGCTTGACTCTAATACTCATAGGCAATCCTCCTATCACTTGTTTTGGGAAACCAGGACTCACTCAGCTTTGATTTCTCTATCTTTGTTCATTGACTGAGCAACTTTTATGTTGTCTATAAACTGCCTTTAAAAAAAAAAAAAGAAGAAAAAAAAGCTAAATAAGAAATGAAGTTTTTAAAAAAAAATTATTATGAGTTATATGCTTTTGTTATTTTTTTTTTTTTGTTTTTTGTAAAATTTGTTAAGTAATCTCATTTTTATGTAAGTTTTCTTTTCTTTCTTTATTTTTCATTTGAAATATAAAATTATATCACTTGAATCTTTTAAAAACACCTTTTGCTTCCAAAAAAATATCTTGCTCTTAGCTTATACGTTACTTATTCTGCATTAAGAATTAAAGTATGTAGAAACCTAAACCTGTCAACATAATTACAAATTATGTGCTTCATTTCTTTTAATCCATTTCCTATTAACTAAATTTTCTATATTATTTGTTTATAACAAACAATATCACATTTAATCTATGTAGGGAAAAATCTAATCCTCTTTATAACGAATACGTAGTTGAATATATCAATAGTAAATGTCTGACTGGACCTGATGGTTTTGATGCCACCACCAAGTGATGCTTACATAAGTCTGCCCGCTTAAAGTTATACCCCTCTATAATTATATAATATTAACATAAAATGTCAATATCACATGATATGAAAGACAAGGTCAAGATAGACCGGGGTATATAGCTTCAATCAATCCATCTGGAAGCCTCTACATAACTACGAATGCCTCAATAGAAGGGACCATGTGGAAGGCCCAAAACCAAATGGATAGAAATAATCAACAAAGATGTGATACAGCTGCGTGTAGGTAACTGGAAATAAATAGCCCAAGATGGGCAGAGATGGAAAAGGGTGATTAAGGCAGCAAAAGATCTACAAGGTATGTAATGCAACAGAAAAAACAAAAATAAATAAATAAAAACCTAAAATGTGAATTGTCAATTTTCAATATAATGCATTGCAGTTATTATTAAAAATGCTCTGTATCACTACCGTCTGGGATAGGATTGAGGTCTCCATCCAGTGATATCTAATCTCTTTAATTCGTAGCTATATTATTGAAAATAAACAGTAGAAATAAATACATCCATAAATAACTTTTCTAACAGCTGATTGAAAAACAGTTTTGCTTATAGTTCTGATCTACCTTCCTAAGGCTTAAAAATTACCATCTTGTTTTCTTTCTAATATTTTGACTTAGAAATACTGTCATCTACCTGAATTTTTCCTATACAAGGTTGCATTTTAGGCAAAGGATAGCACTAATAGTCCGTGTAAATTTATTATCCTCCTTTTGAAGTAGCAGTTCTACTTCTACCTTCTTTTTTAAAAATAATTCTCCATGCTTTCTATCTGCTGTACTATTGCTTTTCATTGAATTGAAGGAGGTTAAAGTAACTTGCTTCGATTAATTCCTTCAAACTATACAAGAAAGCTTGTTACTACAGGTTGTTGTTTTTACTAACTAGCTGAGGTAACCGTATAAACAATAATGGCTCTAATCTATAGATCCTTTGAAAAGGTACTTTAAGAAATCTTATTAATATAACTAATATAGAGGTAGAATTGTATGGCATGAATGTGTGTTACAAAAAAATCAAAATTAGAAATAGAAAAATCATCTTTATTCTGGGACTAGGTCCCTTTAGAATAACAGTATTGTTCATATAAATTAACCATAAATCTGGCCAAAAGACTTATTACAACGAATAATAACAAAATACTTGTAATAAATTAAGCATTAATTAAGCTCTTAGGATAAATTAACTAGAACTGTTGGGTAATAGGGGTTCAGTACTACAATATTAGAGCTAAAACAATAGCATAATAATCACTGAATGAAATTAGAAAGGAAAGCAAAATCAATTTTATAGGCAAAGCATTGTAGTGATGGAATATAAAAATTAAAAAAATAATAATAACTGTTAATATGTAAGGAAAGAAATTGTAAAAACAAAAAAAAAACAAAATTATATACATATGTTCCCTAAGATATTTAAGAGATTATGCGTAAAGATTAGGAGAAGAAAAAATAAAATAAAGTATACATATATATATACACATAGCAAGAAGTGTGTTGAAGATAATTAGAAAATAAAATACATTTCACCGAAAAACAATTTCATGAATAAAAAAATTTGAAATTAAGAAAAACAAATTTTATCTACACACAATGCTTAGTGAGTGGTGTTGAAAATTCACGTTCAACACAGAGTAAAACAATAAAAAATAAGAGGAAAAAAATAATGTCTAAAGAAAATTAAAGCCTTATAACATAGTATGGATTTAACCAGCGTCTGATTGGATTGTGAAGAGGAATTGGAATAAGAGGATTTTAAAGGTGGATAAGGATGATGCATAGCGGATTTTTAGTGGGATGGAATTCCAGAATACAGTAGAACGGACAACGAAGGAATGTTTAAATGATGCACATCTGTGGAAAGGGGTGTAAAAGTCAGAAGGACGAGATCTTGTGGATAGATGATTTGAATTGTAGGAGATTGTATGCGTAGGACGGATGATGACTATTAATTATTTGGTATAGGAATGTGCCTAGGAAATATTGTCTTCGGAAGGAAGGGAAGAGCCATCCTAATTCAGTCATCATTTCATAACAATGAATTATCACATAAAAAAAATCATTTTTTTTTTGTTTCAAAGAAATGTGTATTATTTGGTTTCATCTTCTGATAGTCCTTCCAGGAGAAACATTTTTTTATCCAAATCAATGCACATAGCAAGATGAGACATTCATTGTATCTCCATGCTATATTCTCATTTTTGTAAGAAGTATACTCGAAATAAGGAAGCGTGTCTGCGCGTGGAATTAGAAACATCTTTGAAAATTAGCTTAGGTGGTGGTTTGAAATTTGGCTGTCAACATATCTGTTTTCCTTTCATGAACAAGTTTCAATTCGCTCTTGACTCAAATTTTTTTTCTCCAGCTAACTCAGATTATTATTGTATAGGGATTACGGATTACTAAAATTATACTGCATTACATACTTGCCGCAGGATTGGGCTTATTGTATTTCAAATAATGAATAAATCAATAATAAATGTTACTTCTTATTTCAAAAACAATGTACAAGGCTTTATTTTATTTTATTAGCAATAAATGTTATCCCGTAAATTTTTTCTACTAAATTTTGTTAAGTAATAAACATTGAATTTAGCAATGAGATTATATAGCTTTACCTTATTATTGGTTAAGCTGAATAAGCTTGAAGTTATTTAAGCTAAGGGAGAGTGCTCAGCAGGAATCATCTTTAATAACTGTTCAAGCTATACATTTTTACAATAAGATACACAACTGTTAGAAATAAAGTGGAAACCAGCAATTGGGATAAGAAGTTTTCCTATCAGAACCAAGTATGGCAGTTACAAGAAGGGTAATAAACCTGTGACTTATATATAAACCAGAGGGCACACCTGCTCTGCTTTCCTCAGTATTTTATGGAGAATCAGATTTTTGCTAGTTTCCTAATATTTTATAACCATTTACTTAGATAATAACTTACCGTCTTTGAGTAAGTAAGGATCCAAATTGATGAGGGAGACTGGTCTCCATGTCCTGAAAGAGAATGATTTCAGTCACAGAAGGAAACTACCTACACTACGAAGAATTAGTGCATGGATGTCAGAAGGATGGAAGGCAGCGATAGGACAAGCGCATTCCAACCTTGCAGAAAGAAGACCTACTCCTGGAAGGCCACTTGGACTAGGAGTAGTAGAAGAAAGGATCACATGAATATTTATTTTCTGTGTGCAGGTACTTAAAACAAGTAAATCTGTTTAATAGCAGGGTAAGAATTTTAAGCAAGCATGTTTAACAACCTAATGTTGTAAAATCAGTATTGCCTAAATCAGAGAAGGGTTTAAATAAATAACTCACAAAAGAGTTAAATATAATATACATGTTATATATAACGGTTATATTACAATACAAATAACTGATGACATTTCAATTAAATTATGGGCTACTTCATGTATGTTGTTTCACCCTTGTTACTCTAATATTTCCCATATGCCAGTGATAATGGATAGGGAATACATAAACTTTGAAACAGGTTCAAACAATAAACCTGAGATTTATTACCAAAAAAGGCACAGAGAAGGGGTGTGGGAACCTAGTTTTAAATTTAAGGGGATAAGAGTAAAATGTTAAGAATCACTTCAATAAATAATAAAAATTACATTGTACACAGGAAAGCGTACTACCTACTGCTATAAGGAGAAATTGACAACATTTCAAAAGATAAAATTATTACTTTATAAATCTAATTGGTCATAATTATAAAGTTCATTATAATGCCACTATAACAAAATAACTTATTCTTTGAAAAAAGTTAATCCAATTTAAATTTTGAAATACTACCCCAAGTTCATGCTGATAATTGAAGAGTGTAAATTCACACGACTTGCTGAATATTGCATACCGTAGGAGTTACATGCTTGATAGAAAAATAAAAAGCAATATTTTAAATAAACTTTTATTGTCACAAACATTAATTAGTTCACATTAATGTTGTTTTGTACATTTTACAATTGACAACTAGACAAATTAAATTTACGGCAAAACCGTTGAGAAAAAAATTTAAAATATCTACAGTGATTATTTTGGTTATCAATTTTCTAACATTGTGTTCCTATAATGGAAAGAAAAACAATGATTGAAATAAAAAATTTGAGAATGATAAAACAGTTCTTTATTGATATAAATATATTCTTCAGTGATTTCATCATGTTTAGTTTATTTTTTAATAAAAATGATAATGCCAATAATCCAAATTTTTAAATTATAAAAAGAATCAGAGCACATTTTCTTAGATTAATAATTTAAGGGGATGGGTTTCAATTGTTTTAATGGATAAAGTCAAGTGCAACATATATTTTGATTCTAGTATATATTACAATGACTGTAGAAATCCAAAAGAAAATGATCTACTGATACTTTTATATTTTCATGAAATTTCATACTTTCATGGATTGAAGTAAATTTCACTTTATTGCCAATAATTACACATAATAATGCCTAAAAAAGCAGTTTAGTCAATTCAAATTAATCATAACAGTAAATTAAAAAGTCAATCATAAATCATTACAACAAAATATACAATTTTAAAAACAATTCATGTACAACGTGTTAAGATTAACTTAATGTCAGAAAAATTGCAAAATGATTCAAGAATACAATACACATTTGATGGGTGCTGCTACGAAAAGATCTATTCAATATGTAATCACTGCATGGTGTGCGAAAAAATAATAGTAATATTGAATTCATCATAGGTATTTTTTTAATTACTTTTATAGAAAAATTGTTATCAAAGATTATATTATAATGATCTATTTCAAAATGGTGTTTGAGCTTGTTCAAAGCTTTCCTTCATGTGTTGTATCAAACAACATTACCATTTTTCCAATATAAATGGTAGTAAATAGTGTTCTATCTAAAAAATCATGGTCAC